TTTTTCTAATACCCTACACTAATAAATTGCTAAATCCCTTTTCTCATCAGCAGTTAGAGCAGTCTTGTGCCTTCTATCAGTGGCCAGCAGAGCACTGGTCAAAGCTTGTAGGAAGAGTTTTAATTTCTCCCTGATTACCCAATGAGGCGGCAAGACCCATGACCCTTTGTCTGGAAAGTGCTGATTACATGCACTCTCCCAAGGAAAAAAATACTCTCTAGCAATACACACTAAACTGAGCATGTGCAGCTTGCCCCCCAAGGTTCTTTTCTATCAGATAGATTGGGGACAGTAGAAAAAGCTAGGGGTCAGAGAAGACAGGATCCAACCCATTAGGTTCCACAGTGAGTATAACAAGCATGCTTTACTGCATAGACAGACTGATTTTACTGTTGTGGGTAACACTTTAAGTGCCCATTCACATATATGCAGATTGGATGCTGTTTGAACCATATCCGCATGATATGTGAAATAACATTGCTTCCTATGGTGCCTGTTCACATATGTCCCTTACACTGCCGGAGCAGATTCAGTGTGGATTCAGTGCAGTTTAAAAAAAGAGTCATGTACAATTTCTGAGCAGTGCGGTCCTGTTAAGGTGTGAATTACAGGCTATTGACTCCTATGGGAACCATTTCTAAACCTGATGTGTGAACAGGATAAAATCCTGAGCTGATCCTGTCCTAAACCTGACCTGAACTGTTGAAAAGCTGTGTCAATTAGCTGTAAACCTGAGCTTCAATCTGCACTGCGCTTGTGTAAATCAGCACTAAGTGATGGATGAATAGTAAGTAGTAGTTGGGTAGGTGAAGACTGTTCCTCGCAGTGGGACATCATGCAAGCATAGGGCTAAGAGGGGGATGACACATGCAGCAGACATGGTGAGGGTGCATAGCAACACATCTCAGGGTGGGTACACCCCTTTCTTTAGCCCAAGGGTTTGAGAAAGGGCCATACCAGTTCTGAAACATGTCAACTGCTCTCTATCTGTTTATTGTTTGTTTATATGTTTGGTCTGTGGGATCTACTTAAGGTCTTTTTTCTGTGATTGCAGACACTGTTAATGTGGTGAATTTCCCAGTAATAATTCCTACCCATCCCATTAGTTTTTATGGGCTTTTCCATGGACTTCTTTATATTATTTCAAGGACTTTAGTTTTTAATTTTTTTTTTTCCTAGGCTGTTTTTATTGTAACAGCAAACAGTGACCCTGGGTACATAGGCTTACAAAGCTGTCTACATCCACTTCTTATAATCCAATATAAACATATATATTAAGAGTTTCCATCATGCATTACATTGGATTCGATCTAGCTCAAATGTTAGCTGATTCCTACTGCATTGGCTGAAATTCAAGCCATGATTGACCTTGTCAGCATTACCCAAGCTCAACAAATGATTTAAAAATAGGGTCATGTGGAAAACTATCGGGTGAATATTGATTGCATTCTATCAGATGCAATCACGTTTCAGGTATTCTGACAGTCAAGGCTGTCATGGATATCTACATACAATAGCTGGCAGAGGAGGTGCCTCCATCTAAGTTTAGAGACTGAATGATGAGACATATATGTGTGTATGGCTAGCCTTAAGCAGACCTCACACCTAATAATTGTCTGTAGAGCTGAACAGTATTAGTAGCAGTGTTTTTGTTGGGGAATAAGATATATATATATATATATATATATATATATATATATATATATATATATATATATATATATATATATATATATATATATATGGGCCAAAGCAGCGAAAGGTGGCCACAGCAAGAGTCAGTAGATTCTCATTAGTTGTTCTAAATGCTGCCTGCAAACACTGTGTGAGCAGCTACAGCTGTCATTGGCAGCTGTTAGGTTTCTACCGTGTACAAACCTATGGCCTTTGCCATTGCTGTTCGCATGTAATCAGCCATCTTAGCAGTTATATGTGAACAGATCCTCTGACTGACCTTGAACGCAGCTAGTGTTTGTCCAGAGTTGGCATTTTGGCTGCACACAAACAGGCCACAGCTAATTCGCCAGTGTGTGTGCAGCCATAGCACAGAAGATTGGTGCATCCAGAGGTGGTATTTGTTTAAAAGTAGGTATAGGTGGAGCTGTTAAGTGCAAATGAGAAATCTTGGTATTGGGATCCTGCAGGGGTATAAGCAGGTGTTACAGACTCAAAAAAAAATATATACATAAACCTGCACTAAAATAAATAATCAATAATAATAAAGTGTATAATATATAGCAGCTGAACACAAAAACCCTGATACTAGGCAATAAACAAATACATAAAAGTGCAGTGCTTAAAGTGACAAATATTCATAGGGAAACAGTGAAAAATGTGTCAAAAAATAGTCCATCCAAAATTAAAGGAAAAGTCGCAGAGGCGGTCACTTGAATCCTCCTCCAGATCACCAAAAGAGCAGATACAGATCTTCCAAAGAATGGACCTTAATTAGGGTAGCTAAACCACTCTGGATTAGGCTTGGACTTGTAGTGGGAAACATGCAAAGAAAGAGCGCTCCACATAGTGAAAAACCATAATCACAGCATTTAATTAAAGTACGATTGCACTCACATGTAAGCAAACATCATTAAGCATTGATTGGCAAAAAAATCCAAACTTGCCAGTTTCCAAAATGGCCACCGCCGTTTGGCATGCACGGTAGTGTGTGTACGTGGCTCTGCCCTACGCGTTTCGTCACAGGTAATGTCTTCAGAGCCACTATGAGTCCAAACCTTATCCTGAGTGGTTTAGCTACCCTAATTAACGTCCATTGTTTGGAAGATCTTTATCTGCTCTTTTGGTGATCTGGAGGAGGATTCAAGTGACTGGCTTTCTGGGTTGTTTAACAAAGCGCGATTGACCACTCTTAACGGGGGTCATGCCTTTCTGGTAAGCCTTCTGTAGTAGTGGTTGGTGACACAGCAACTGTCCTTGGATTTCTTTTGTTTCATCACAGCCTCTGGGACATTTCCTTTAATATTGGATGGACTATTTTTTGACACATTGTTCACTGTTTTCCTATGATTACTTGTCACTTTAAGAGCTGCACTTTTATGTATTTAGGTGTTACCAACTGCAGACGCATTATAGTTAGACCATCCATTAAATTTAGCTTAATCTGAGTTCCACAAAATTTGCGGAAGACTGATTCCAGAGAGCTGTAAACATGTGGAATGGATGAGTCTGCTGTGTAACCTCATTTTGCTCATGTGTTACCAGCAGGGCTTTTTTGTGTCTCAGAGAATAGGCGCAGGAACTCCCCCCTTGTGAGTCACGTCTTATCTCATCCCCCCCCCCCCCATCTCCGAGCACCGTCCCTTGGCTCCACCCCTTACCCACCTTAATAGTGCTGCTCCTTTTAGAGAATACAGAGCCAAGTATAATTTTGTGTTGCTAAGTAATTTGCATGGAATTTGTTAATGATAACAAGAAAAGTGGTAAAACTTATCCCCTGCAGCCAACAGCAATAGAAACCCCCTCCCCCAGCAACAATGGACCTCCACAACAAAATACCACCCCAACATCAATTTACCCCAGCAGTAACAACAGATCTCCCAGCATGCAGCAACGATAGACCCCTCCCTCAATGGTAGATCTCTTCCAGCAACAATTGAACCCCCTCCCACCTCAGCAGCAATACATATCCTTTCAGCAACAGAAGACCTTCCCAGCAACAACAGAGCACCAAACACAATACTAGACCTCCACCAGTTACAATAGATCCCCTATCCGGAAATACAAAATCATGTATATATACATGATTTCACGCATCCTTGCCGCCCTGTAGCAGTATTTCTGCTATAGGGTGGCAGGGAAGCGGTTAATGTATCTGACTTTCTGTATGTTAAGAGCAGCAAGGATCCTATAGTAGATGTGCTGTTCCCCTCATATTTGTTATTTAACTGTGCATTGTATCACCAATTCTTATTTCACCATGTTTGTTTCTATGTCTTGATCTGTTGCTGCCATCTGCTGGCCAGAATTTGCATGCTGCATGCCCCTGTTATAGCTAGTACGTTTTTTCTCTGCTGGGCGTGGTTTTAGGCAAGCCTTGGTTAAGGTCACTTCCTGCAGCCATTTTTATGTGCTTTATAGCTGTGTGACAGGACATTCAATACCCTGGGCTTGTGAAGGCATCAGTTTTTGACCAGCAGTTAGCCTCAGGAAAGATATTACAGGACAGCATCAATACCTCTACTACATTACAGTATTGTATCACTGTTTGTCGCTGTATTTGGACCAAATAAACCCACGCAGATTTCATTCCTGTGTATACGTTTGGATCCGTCTAACCTAAGCATCTGCCGGTCCGGTCTGCTCCACTGCTTGGATATGAAGGTAGGAAGTTACACAGCCATTATCAGTTATGCCTTCATGTGGGGACAGAACAGTAGATGTATTTGAGTATAGCTTTCCTGTATTGGAAAAAGAGGTTCTCAGATCACCAGATTGCTGATAAAAGTGAGAAAGGTGGATGCATGCACTATATCTGTATGAAATAGTGAACCCTGAGTAAATATGTTGAAATAGTGAACCCTGAGTAAATATGTTGAAATGGTGAACCCTGAGTAAATATGTTGAAATGGTGAACCCTGAGTAAATATGTTGAAATGGTGAACCCTGAGTAAATATGTTGAAATGGTGAACCCTGAGCAAATATGTTGAAATGGTGAACCCTGAGTAAATATGTTGAAATGATGAACCCTGAGTAAATATGTTGAAATGGTGAACCCTGAGCAAATATGTTGAAATGGTGAACCCTGAGCAAATATGTTGAAATGGTGAACCCTGAGTAAATATGTTGAAATGGTGAACCCTGAGTAAATATGTTGAAATGGTGAACCCTGAGCAAATATGTTGAAATGGAGAACCATGAGTAAATATGTTGTGTGCTTTATATGCATTTAATGGCCTTATTGTCATCTCTTACACTTTAAAAGTAGTTTACAATGAATTATTCAACTAGATTGATAAATGTTTTCATTTCTTTTTACATTTAGGGCCATGTTGATTTCAGCTATGAAGTCTCTAGGTCTTTGTCTGCTTGTCAAGGTGTCTTACTTGTGGTTGACGCAAATGAGGTATTTCTTGTTTATTCACATTTCACATCTGGTTGGTTATAAATTCTACAACCGTCATCCATTACAGCCATTACTATCTGGAGTAATGAAACCGTAGTGGTAGTATCAAGGGGTGAAGGTGCAGCACCCTCCCCTAAACCAGGAGGTGCAAAAATCTTGTATATATACACAAGGCATTTTGCACAGAGTGGCCGCCCTGTAGCAGTACATCTGCTAAAGGGTCGAAGGGAACTGGTTAAAATACCTATTTTTGATTTGCTATACCTTGCTCTGCTCTGTTTTTCTGTGTGGAGGCAGCCATCTTGGTATAGGCAGAGGTTTGCTTCCTCATGTCAGAGCCTCCAGCAAGGATAACAGTGAACAGAACGGGAGTAACATCACCTGATCTCACTCCAAATCTCCTGAGACTAGCAGTCAGAGGCAGCAGAGCTTTAGGCTTGGGTACACATGGGTGAAAAAGTATCTGAAACTGTCGAATTGGCAGGAACTGAATGACTTTTCGGCCCATGTGTACAGCTCCTTGTACTCCTTTGGCCTCACAACTGGCTTCTGTCAAATGAGCATGCTGGAAAACCAGCATCTGATCAGCCAATAGCTGCCATCGCTGATCAGTGTGTCCTGGCGGCGGGAGTAGTCCCCCTGTCAGGACACAATAGTTCAGTGGAGGAGGTCGCTGCACTAACATTGCTTTATACTATAGATATACAGCACCAGGGGAGTGCCTGCCTAACATACCAGGATATACACTATTGTTTGCAACGGGGAACAATTAACATTTCTAAATGTTTCCTATAGCACAGAAAAACTTTTTGAGTTCAGTTCCACTAATAAATTAGCATTATGCCGAATGCAAATTTGGGAAGTTACTTCTGGCCTAGCCCAGATTTCTGAGACCCACGGCTGTCATGATTCTGTGTGTAATGAAAGCAGAGCAGTTCACCACACAGAGACAACAAATCCTGGGTCTGCCAGCTAATTCTGTAGGGTTTTGACAATAAACCGTTCAGCAGGTGATCATATACAAGTCACGCATTTACAGGCCAGAACGCTTTTAATCTACCATGCAGAGAAACTGTTCCCACTCTGGGGCTTCCCTGACAAATTCTGCTTTATTGTATAGTAAAGAGAAATTGAAGAAAAACAGTTTTGCATCTTTTGCAGAATTTAGATCAACTAATAAAATGGAAAAAAAAAAAACACATTTCAAGGTGACAATGGGATAAAATGTAGAACTTCTATTTATTTATTACAAAGCTGCAGCGATGTACAGCACCAGAAGGCAAATCATTTATCAGTTTACTAGGCTTATTGCAGAAAAGCATTTCGATGTTTCAATATTGGTGTATCTTATTTTGTCTACCTTCAGGGGATTCAAGCACAGACTGTGGCAAACTTCTATCTGGCTTTTGAAGCACAGCTTTCAATTATTCCTGTCATAAACAAGGTAAGGAGCTTACAAAGCCGTACCCGCCATCAAACCGACCCTTCAGTCTGGGAGCGGATGAGACAGTAAACACTGTCTAGATTTCTGCTGTTTGGAAGGAGGAGAGCGCAGTTTGCTGGCAGACTTGTAAATGAAGCCGTTAGGCTGAGTAGCGTTCATACAATGCAGTTTTTGTTTTTCTCTCATTCAGATATGGTCAAAATAAGTCCCATAAAAAATCTAAACTTACTGACCCTAAGGCTGATATTAATCTGAACATTTTTAATTTGTTAGCAAGTCAAGACTCACACAGTTGCAGTGCCTTAACGCATGTGCATTGGCATGCGTTGTGTTAAAGTGGTTCTAACCACTTCCTTTAACGATTTAGAATTGAGCCTGGCTGTGGCACTTCTCTCCCCTCTTTCTGCTCTCACAGGCTACATTGAGAGTGGAGGAAGCCATTGGCTCCTGCTGCTATCCGTCAAATCTGAGGAGGGAGAGGGGGGCAGGGCCAAGCCTCTCTGTGTGTGTCTATGGACGCACACAGCTCAGCTTAGAAGTGCACCTGCACATGTGCCCCAATAGCATACAGCTGGTTATGGGGGCACAACGCAGAAGTCGAGTAGCAGACAGCACCAGTGGAGGACCTCAGAAGAGCAGGTAACCGTGAGCTATGTGCAATATCATTGCACAGAGCAAGTAAGTATAACATCTTTTTTTTATTTTAAATAAAAAAAATTGACTTTATAATCACTTTAAGGCAGCCTATTCATTTGAATGGACTGTTTAATGCACTAAATACAACAAAAAAAGGTGCACGTCATTTTCTTTTTTTTTTTTTTGTACCGCGGTACACCACAACAGTGTGCTATCATGGTTTGTAGTGCACGTCTGTTGGCAAAGCGTGTTGAGGTGACAACAAGAATATATGGCACACAAAACACATTGCAGTCATGCCCACATAATGCCTGCGTTACTCCAGAGCAAGAATTTGCACCCAGTCATAGGATTTTATGGCAGGAAAGACTTTCTATGTCTTTTCTGCTAAACAAATTCTTTCTTCTATTTTTTTTTTTTTCTCAATTATACACTGACTGTGGCACATGCCTAGAGCAGGGTACACTTGGGAATACAGAAAGAAACAGTGGTATGGCCATTAAAAAAAAACCCAAAATACTCATTTATAAAACAATAGCCTGAAGCCAGCAGAGCCAATAAAAATAACTAGGGTTGTTAAAAAACAAATAGAAGAGTACCAGTCATGTGAGAATGCTTTGGACTACTGCACACTCAGTAGTGCAGCCTGAACTTTATGAATGGGCTGTAGAATGCAGGCTGTGGTATTTAGAAATCCTGAAATATCCGCTTTCCATTTATAAATTGGCCTCTAAGAGCCAGGTTCCTGGAACAATATAACCTCTGTGTACATATGCAGGAGTTAACTCATTAGTGGCCCAAGAGAGGAGGCGGAGAGTAGGCAATCTTAATATATGCCAAATTGTGCCAGGTTTGTTACAATAGCATAGGCCAATTTGGCACAATAACAGGTCTAGGATAGTTGGAGGGGACTCCCTTAATCCTTGGGAGCTATATAAAGCCCAAAACTCCCTTAAAAACTAACACCACCTAGGTAACTGATTTAAGAAATATTGCTTCTGAGGTATACTCCCCTAATTCAAACCTCCACGTTGCATCACAAAATCTGAAGGCCCCACATTGTGTTGTGAGATGTATTGGGGGTATATCTCAGTGCTGAATTTCCAAAAGTCAAGGTTTGGGAACTCCCTAAGCACCTTGCAGCAAGATTCTGAAGGCATTGGTACAGTATCTGTAGGTACCTGTCAGTCCCTAGACTTTATTTGTAAGCTTAGTTATGGGGGTAATAAGTAGGCCTGGATCTAGGGGAGTGCTGGTTTGGGCTATGCCCCCCCAGATTTTAGTTGTGCCCCCCCCCCCCCCCCCCAATCTCTGAGAGTGCATCCACGAATCCTTGAGATTCCTGATATAAGAGGGCATAGTTTCTATTCAATCATTCTAATTTAATGACAACCGAATACAAATTAGCGATCTCTGTTCACTCCTGCACTGCCGCTGCACTCCCTGTTAGACATTACTTCTGGGTTATGACTCTGTGGTACAGAAGCATTCTGAGTGAATGGGAAATAGTGGTTCTATGTATCTTTGTCACACTATTAACATTATGCCCCCTGACTTTTTTTTTCCTTCACCCCCATATTAGATGGCGGCCTATTTTTTTTTTTCTTTGTACCCCAGCACAGTTTATATAGAACTGGATAAATATCCATTGGGCAGCTGTTCTAGCTGCTAATAACGAGTACTGAGCCATCATTAAATAGCTTGAGACACAGACACACTGTGCTGAATTGATCTGCGATGCTGGGTACCATGTGATCACTGCGAATGGTCATTTCTGAATAGGGAAAGAAACAATGGGTCAACAGCAGTAGCAGCTGCAGATCCATTCATTCTGTTTCAATGACACGGATCATTTTTTTATTAACACTTCCACCCCTTCCTCCTCTCCTACACATATTATCTCTATCCTGTCTCTGATTGTGACCTGTATTTTGACCCTTCACCTCTCCTATTCTTCACCTCTGTACACTAGCCTCCTCACCGCTATCCTTCTATTGTATGTGACCTGTACATTAAAATTGATGCCCAGTCAAATAACTTGACTTTAAGACGTGAAAACTTGACAACATAGTGCTAAGAACTCTCAGTGAAGCTGACCATGGTGCTGCTGCTCTGAAGTAGAGGGCTTGTATCCTGAAACGCGTCAGTTGGTGGTAAAATCCCATTGAACCTGATGGAGTTCTATTGATGGGCTTGCTTTTGGTTCCTGAGTGTTATACAACGCTGTCATTCACAATGATTTTGTGAATATAATTTATACAGTATATTTTATATTTCAATAAAGTGCTGGAGATAATGCACTAAGTGTTTGCTCCCTTTGTTTTTTATTATTTGTCCAGCCAAACACTAAATATACTAAAACCTGCTCCTACCCTTATTCTAAGCTTATGCCTACCTTGTAAAGGAAAGATGTCTATACTTGCCTATGCTGTGGGTGCTCTGGTCTTGTCACATGTTTGGCTTCCAGTGCCAGCTTCAGTGTAGAGCGGGGACAGCCAAGAATGGATGCCCATAGCAAGCTTATGGATGACGTCACCGCATAGGCTCTGCAGCCATTGTTGGCAATCTTTCCTCTTCACTGAAGTTGGCCACTGGATAGTTCATGTGACCAAACTGGAGCACTGTCAGCATAGGTAAGTAAAAACCTCTTTCCTATACAAGGTACTTAGAATAGGCTTGGAGCTTGTAATATTTCCTCCTCTCCGATCTGTCACTCATGACTTTACCGTTAAGATCAACAGCACAATGATTAGTCCCTCCCCACATGTCAGGGTGCTGGATGTAACCCTAGACTCTGCCCTTTCCTTCAGACCCCACATCCAATCATTGGCTAAATCCTGCCACCTCCACCTCTGCAAAATTTCTAGAATGCATTCCTTCCTGACTAACGACACCACAAAACAACTTCTCCAGGCATTGGTTATATCCCGCCTTGACTGCTACAATTCCCTCCTCATTGGCCTACCGTTACACAGGCTATGCCCCCTTCAGTCTATTATGAATGCTGCTGCTAGACTTTTATACCTTACCAACCGATCAGTGACTGCTGCCCCTCTCTGCAAATCTCATCACTGGCTTCCCCTACCCCATCGTATAGAATGCAAAATACTAACCACAATGTACAAATCCATCCACAACACTGCCTCTATCTACATCACCAACCTCATCTACAGATATCATCCAAATCATCCACTCCACTCCCCCCAAGACACCTTGCTCTCTAGCTCCCTTGTCACCTCCTCCCATGCTTTCCTCCAGGACTTCTCCAGAACCTCTCCCATCCTCTGAAACTCCCTTCCCCTTTATGTCTGGTCAGCCCCCACCCTGTCAGTCAAATTATACCATCCCTCCCAGAACTTTTTAAATTTTCCTGTTTTATCCTCATCTATATATTCTATATATATATATATATTATCTATATATATATATATATAGATAGATAGATAGATAGATAGATAGATAGATAGATAGATACATGCACACTCCACCCTATCCATCCAATCTTTTATTTTTGGGGATTCTGATGTTTGCCAATATTTAGGGATAAGGCTTTTGGCTGCATTTAAAAGATGGAACAAAATAGTATTTTTATATTGCTTCACTGAAAGCTCTGATTTATAAAATAAGCAAGTTCACTGGTCTAGCGATATACTAATCTTCTGGATCTCTTGTATATATTGCGTTAGTATATATTGCGTTAGTATATATTTAGAGAGTTATCTCCCTCCAGAACTCCTGTATTTTGGGACAATCCCACCAGATTTGTGCAATTGTGCCCTTACTCCCGCATCCCCTCCAACACTGGGATGAAACTTCTGGCCTTAATTTATGCATCAAATTGGGTGTAATATACCATCTTACTAGGCACTTATAATTAATTTCAACTATATTCATATTCACCGCCTCATGTGTTAAACTAAACCATTTATTTTTGTTGCGCATTCAATTTTGTTCCAAGCTCTATTTCCCACTTCTCAAAAAATTTTGGGATGCTAGTTCCTCATTTCAGTAAATATTCTATATTTCCTTGAGGTAATATGTTTTTGTATTTTATTTATACTCAGCAGTTGCTCTAATGGATACATTTCATCCTCATTCCTTAGTGGTTGTGGGAGCTTTGCAACAAAATATTTTTTTTGTCAATACCGCCACTCATCCAGAACATAAAACTCCTCTATCCACAATATCTTTTAAACGTGCATTTTTATCCATAGTCCATTTCCCTGAAATATTGTCATTCCCAGGCAAGAAAAACCTAGTTCCCGCCAGCAGAATTGACAGTGAATTAAATTTCTAATCATTCTGCTTATGTATTTCATCCCAAATCCTAAACACATTCTGTGTCAAAGTGCTTGTGTCTTCGTCCCAAGTGCGACATTCCTGTTGTATCCAAATGAACTTTTTTAATGGTGCACTTTCCATTCTTACCCAACTTCTCCCGTTCATATTGTATATCCAGTCTACAATTCATGATAATCGCACTGGATTATAATATCTCCTAAACTCTGGCATATTTAATCCTCCCTTTTTTTTTTTTTATTGCTGCACAGAACTTCATACTTGACTCTTGTTTTTTTTTGTTAGTACACACATCTCTAAGTATCATTTTTTTGAGAAACCTGAAGAAAGACCCCAGAAGATGTATTGGAAGCATATTTATTTATATAACACTTTTGGTACTATAATCACCTTAATTATATTTATCCGACCTATCCAAGACAGCTTTCCCACATAAGCTTTCCTCAGTTCATCTATTATCTCATTTATTAGTGGGATATAGTTTGCCTGATACAGATTTTTTACATGTGATGTTCTTTTTATTCCCAAATACTTTAATTATTTTTCTCTCCATTTAAAGGGGAACTCTTTTTGTAGAATTTGTTTCTCAGCCTTTGAAACGTTTGTTTAATATTCACTTTTCGAGGGATTAATGTTCAAGTTGGATAGCTCTCCATATTCTTTCAATTTTCTTATTAGGTTTGATTGTGTTAATCTGGGGTTTTAAATATAAAAACAGCATATCATCTGCATATGCTGCCACTTTATGTTCAGTGTCCCCTGTCTACATTCCCCTGACATTTATACTATTTCTAACAGTTACTAATAGCTGTTCCATGGAGATAACAAACAGCAACGGACACAGGGGACATCCCTGTCTTGTACCATTTATACATCCTAAAAAATGTTGATAATGAACTGTTCACCTTCACTGCAGCTGAGGGGCACCTATATAACTCTTTTATCCACTGTATCATTCTAGATCCTATTCCTAATGTTTTCAGCATATCGAACATAAATCACCAATCTACTCTATCAAAAACTTTTTCAGCATCAACTGACAGAATAATTCCTGGTTCCTCTCCTCTTTCATTCTTTTGCAGGATAAGCAATGTTCTTAAACTTTTGTCCGTTCTCTCTCTGCCCAGAATAATTCCCACTTGGTCTAAGTGTATCCAGTCAGACATCAACTCTTTCATCCTGGTAGCTAGCACCTTCGCATAGACTTTTGTATCAGTATTCAACAAAGATATGGATCTATAGCTGGGACACTGAGACCAATCTTTCCCCTCCTTGGGTATTACTGTGATATCTGCCTGTAACAATTCCTCCCTCATCTTTGTCTCCTCTCCTATATATGAACGCAGTTTAGGGACTATATGTTCTTTGAACTTCTTATAATATCTTACGGTAAACCCATCAGGTCCAGGTCTCCTTCCTACAGCTGTACTCTGTACTCTTTAATGCTAAACTGACATCTTCTATTAATATTGGGTTATCTAAAGCTGCTAGTCTAGTTGTATCCAATCTAGGTGAGCCGGCTTCATTCAGCTAAATCTGCTTTTTCTTCCTCCTCTCTTTCTCGGATTCCTTCTGGTTCTTCCCTTCTGCTCCATATAAACTGCTATAGTACCTCTGGAATGTGTATTATTATTATTATACAGTATTTATATAGCGCCAGAAAGTTTGCTCAGCGCTGTACAGAGTAGTGGGGGACAGTACATGAGACAATACAGTAACAAAACAGTATACGAGGGGTTTGAGGGCCCTGCTCTTTCGAGCTTACAATCTAGGAGATTTCGTATTCTGTTTGGCTTCTTTCCTCTATACATCCTTTATAGGGGTAAAAGTAGACTCATTTTTAGAACAAGAATGCCTACCCTTTTTTCCCTTCTTTTCTACCCCATTCCCTCCGTCTCCCCCCTCCCTCCCCCAATACTTTTTTTTGGACCTTTAATCAACTGTGGCCCACAGTCCCAGTTGATTCCTTCTTCTGGGGAAAACTCTAAGCATGCACACCCCTTCAGACTTTGATCCCTCATAATTTGGTCTGATGTTGGCAGCATGTTTGGTCTCCCTACTATCCGCCGTGATACTCCATCCTTTACCCCATCCTTTACTTTACCTCCACCTGCCCAGTCTTCTTGGTTATAATTCTCTGTCCTGTCTAAAGCCAAATTACCTTAGTCCAAAGGCCCCCTTTGGCCCATCTTTCAAGGAAAGAGATTTATTCCTGAGACATTATCAGACGGTGTGTGTGATGGGATGGCAGGGGCATGGGAGAGATCGGGGGAGAGAAAGAAAGAAAGAAAGAAAAAAAAAAAGAAGGAAAATCCTCTCTCTCATCTCCCCCGGCCACCCTCTTTCTAGAAACTCTTTGCCAGTTCTCCTCATCTGATACATTTTTATCTTTCCTTCCTACAGACCACCCCTCAATATCTAACATCATTTAGATCTTTAGATCTTCTGGGAATGTCAACTTTGCCGATCTCGCATCCTTGCACCCAGTCAGGCATGCCGGGAAACCCAATTATAATGAATATTTTTACCCTTCACCTGATCTAGCAATGGTCTCAAGGATCTTCTTCTAGTAAGTGTCTCCTGTGCTATGTCTCCATACATTATAACTGGGATCCCTCATAGCTTTTTCCAGATGGTTTCTCTATCTTCATAGTGGCTGAACCTTACTATCACATCCCTGGGAATGTCTGATGTATTTTTTTGGGATCTTCTTATCCTATGCACTCTTTCTATTTTCAGATGTTCTGTCTCTTTCTTTCCCATTATTGGGTTAAACAATCTTTTCATAGTATCCTTTAGATCTTCTCCTTGAGCTATTTCTGGTAAACCTCTGATCCTTAAGTTATTCCTTCTGTCTCAGTTTTCCTGGTCTTCTAATTTATAGGATAACAGTCTCTGTTCTTTTTTTTTCATTGCCTCTACTTTCTCTTCTAATTTATTAATTACTTGTGCTTGTTTTTCCAGTTTCCCTTCTGTTTCCTCTACCCGTGATAGAACTTAGTCCCATTTCTCAGTGTAAAACCGTCATTTCACTTTTTATGGAGTTTTCTAATTTTATAAACATATCTGTGATTTCTGCTTTTGTGGGCATTTGTGACCTTACTTCTTGCATCTCCATATTTTTCTTCCCGCTTTAACTTTCAGGTTTTGAGATTTCTTTCAGCTGATTTCTGTCCAATACCTCGAAAGACAATCTCCCCTGACGTTCAATCTCCCCTGACGTTCAGTATAATTTTTCTCTCCGTATTTTTCTTGGGTTAGTTCCTCTGGGCTTTTCTCCTTTAAGGGCATGTACTTTTTTTTCATACTTGTATTTAAATTCACATGAGGGGTTTTCACTCCCCTCCCTTAACGGATCTGCTCTTCATAATACACAAAGTGAACAGGAGGTTTTACTGCTAAATACAGGTTCCCTTTTCAGCTTAAGTCCTGAGTTCAGTGTCCCATCCACTTCTTCTGGGACCCCCAAACACTAGTGTTATGTCCTTGGTGCCCCCAGCCTCCGCTGTAGCATACAGGTAAGCAATTATTCATCTTTGGGGATTTACTGCCTCCTGCGGCAACTCACCCATTCCTGTCCACCATCTGCACCAGACTCTCCCGCACCAGACTTCTGGACAGCAACTCAAGTAGGCGTGGGGTCGGATTTGTGCTGTTCACTCAGCAGCATGGGAGCTCCTGACACATGCCGCTGTGGAGCGCCATGCTCACGCCCTCTCCCCTTGTGAGCCATTCGTACTCTTATTTCAACAAGGATGGACTTCCACAACAGGACCAGACCTAGACATTAATGATGTTCTCCTCTTGTAATGTCTTACCATCTTACCACCTGCATGCACAGTTCTGCATACATAAAATCATTGCATACTACTTGTACTGAAATATTATTTTCCTGACATTTTTTAACCCAAAGACTTATGAAAAAATGCAATTCTGAAAAAGTGATGAAACAAGGGCCTGCCTCATTGCTTACCTACAGTACAGTAGGTCTTGGTCGGTGTTGTCTTATATCCAGGGATGAATAGAAAATAGGATTGAGGCTTTGCTCATTTAGCTAGAGATTGCTCTCTTAATAGTAGAATACATCATTTCAGTAAGTTACAGTTTGCAACTATAGAGATTTGTAAAATACTTTGCTCTGTTTTTAAGATCGACTTGAAAAATGCAAATCCAGAGAGAGTGGAGAAACAAATAGAAAAAATGTTTGACATTCCAGCCAGTGATTGCATTAGGGTGAGTATGTACTTCATTAGTGTAATTTGCATTTTTATTGAATGACCTTCAAACCATAACGTGTGTGTGTCTGTACAGGTATACACTGATCAGCTATCACTTTATTACCACTGACAGGTTAAGTTAATTACATTAATTATCTTGTTACAATGGCATCTGAAAGTCAGTGGGGTATATTAGGCAGCTAGAAAATATGTTGTCCATGAGGTTGATGTGTTGAAAGCATCACAGTTTGTTGTGTATGGGACTATGTAGCCACAGACCGATCAGGGTGCCCATGCTGACCTGTGTGCACAGCCAAAAGTGCCTACAATGGGCACATGAGCATCAGATCTGGACCACAGAGCAATGGAAGAAGGTGGCCTGGTCTGATTAATCACTTTTTCTTTTACATCATGTGGATGGCTGGGTGCGTGTGCATCACTTACCTGGGGAAGAGATGGCACCAGGATGCAGTATGAGAAGGAAGCAAGCCGGCAGAGGCAATTTGATGCTTTTGGCAATGTTTTGCTGGGAAACCTTGGGTCCTGCCATTCATGTGGATGTTACTTTGACACGTACCTAGCTAAACATTGTTGGTGACCAAGTAAATACCTTCATGGAAATAGTATTCCCTCATGGCAGAGGCCTGTTTCAGCAGATAATGCACCCTGCCACATTGCAAAAATGGTTCAAGAATGGTTTGAGGAACACATCCCAAAAGAGTAAAGAGGAAGAGCTCCAAACAAGTTTTTAAAATGGACTTTGATGTCTTGTGGTCAGATCTAGTCCTACGTGTCTCCTTACATGCAGATTTTGTTATGTGTCAGAGTTCTTTTGACCTCAAAGTGATAGTTGTAGTAAGGAGATAGTATTGTGCAGATGCAGGTCTTATGCACCCCTATTACAAGTTTGCACAGAGGAATGGAGGAGGAAGTCATGGGGGATGGCTGAAGGTTGCAATTGGCAATCCATGGTTTCTTACTCTTGAGCTTCGCCTTGCTGCAGCCATTAAAGTGGTTGTAAAGACTTAAAGTAGAACTATGGGTAAAAATTTTTTATTTATTTTGCATAGCGTAAGGGAGAGTTTTAACCCCTTTCATTTTATTTTTTGCCATCTGTGTTCCATTGGGGGATTTACCTTCACTTCATGTCCCCTAGTCAAAACAGGAAATAAGAAAAAATTAAGCTAATTCCTTGGGGACCCCCAGGTCACCAGAACTACTGCTCCCATTGGAAAATTCCCACTTTATTACTTTTCTGGGGAAATCCCAAAATTTGGTGTTTCTTTTAGTTCCATTATCAATGGGAATGGTGAAAAGGGCAAATACAAATACAGAGGTTGAATCTTCCTAATGAGGGCACAGACAGCAATAGAAACCTGATGGGTTCTAATCCATCTCCACTCTATCCAAAACTACAAGAAAAAGGTTTGCCTATAGTCATACTTTAAAAGCTCATGGAGGACATGGAGGTAGCAGCGGGATCCATTGGAGAGAGAGAGAAGCTGGAGGCGAGGTGCACTACGTGTGTCAATAGACGCACACAGCCCAACTCGGAATCAAGCCCTCACAAGTGCTCCCATAGCAAGCAGTTTCCTATGGGGGCACTTAGAAGGGAGGAGGAGCAAAGAACACCAACGGGGGATCCCATTTTAAAAAGAATTATAACTTTACAATCATTTTACGTTCTAGTGAGTCTTAGGGAAGCTGAATTAAGGGAGAATGTTCATTTCAGGGCAGAACTAAGCTTTTGGTGAAGCCCATCAGGGGCCCTATCAATCTGTTTTATATACATATCATCTATGGAGCTCTTCCACGCAAGCTAGACTTGGCTGAAAGTACAAAAATCGGCTATGATAGATGGTTATACTACGGTATATCTAGTCGCCTTTAAATACAAGCAAAGTATGTATTTTCTTTTATTTTGTATTTTTTGTTGAATAAAAACATGACAGACTATACATGACATTATTTGACATGAAAGAAAATGTCTCCTTTATTCCTGGTATGTTTAGATCTCTGCAAAGTATGGAACAAATGTGGAGAACGTTCTTCAAGAAGTTATTAAAAGACTTCCATCGTGAGTATAGATGTCTGAACGGATGCACTGTGTTGTCTGCTCAGCTCTAATTATTTCCTGTTCTCTTTTTTATTATTTAAATTAAATTTGTCATACAGCTGTTACTGGGACAGCAGAGGCTCCTATCAAGCACTGGAAGCTGTCATTGCTCAATTCCTGGAAGCAGTTTCAGGACAAGAAGGTCCCTGTGAGTGATGCTGCAGAGATCTCCCATGTCTCAGATCTAGTACTGCTTCCTGGAGTCAGGCACTAGAAGCCTAGAATTATGGAATGCGGCATCAGCTGTAATTAGTATCACCTGCCCTAACAGGATCCCTGTAAAGGAATCTGTACTGACAAAAATACATAGTTACATAAAAAGGCAACATTTGTAACAACCTTATTAGTCATCTTAGCCAGCACTTTTAGAAATGGGAAGAATGTGTATAGTACAGTTTATGGAGCAGATTATGACTGTGGCACTATGTTTACATGCTTGGAGAATGAAAAAGTTTAGAGCATGTAGCACTACTCTTTTGAGGGCCAATGAGTTTTTGGGTCCCCTTAAGCTTTGCACAGTCAGGCAACATACATTTTCCACTTTCATAAAAAAAACTCAGTAAACAGTCCATGAGATTGTTTGTTTGTTTTTTTTTTTCTTTTTTTTCTTATTAGGGGTTAACAATTTGGATGGGGTCTAGTGGTATATGGGATGCCCAATGGAACTGCACAACTTGGAGGACAAACGTCTTAGACAAAAATGGACAAAAATCAGCACATGGCCTTTGTAAGGAGCATTTGGTCCACTTTTATTGAACCTCCACAGATGCTAGATGAAAATCTCATCCACCTGGCTACCTTGAGAGTGTCTTTGAGCAAGGGATTCCAAGACATGAAAATGAAGTAGTCCCAGGGAGAACTAGTTGGGTATTGCACCTGACCTCCCTTTCTTTTCTTGGCCTGGGGGTGTATAGAAGTACTCACACTGTCCTGTTCATGTAGCTTAATGGTTGAAGCTTCTTTCAGGCCTTACGCTGGGCTGGCTCCTTACTGCTGACAGGCTGTGTTTCCTAGGTAGACTGTGCAACAGTGAAGATCCTTCCATCCAGCTTCAGCCTGTTTACAGACTCCCCTCCTCTGGGGTTCCTTCTCAGGCTCCATGCCAGCAGCCTTTCCTCACTCCATCTTCCACCTAACTCCCCTGCTGACCAGGCTGTATTTAAGGGTTGTCCTAGCCACCATGCCAGGCCTCCTGCCTGGAGATTGGCCAGATTCTCTCAAACATGCAAATGTAAGCCACCTCCCCTCCTATGCCCCTCTTCTATAAAGTGCCAGAGGTTTCTAGAAGGGTGGGAGGGCTCCAGAAGCCCTGACTTGTAAAGCCTCCCAGCCTAACCTCATGTGACCACGTTGACTTACTCCCATGCTGACTCATACCCAGGCTTATAGCAATCCTCTAACTAACCACAAAAATCCTACCTAAACTAGAGGGCACCACAGACCAATTTACAACTGTGTTTTGCAGCAAAGCATGTTATAGGCCTTGACATGTTGTGGTGCCATTCAATTTAAACAGCACCAGAATACACTTAGACCCCTTCACATGGGCTTTCCAATCAGGTCCATCTGGCAGTTTTTTTTAGGTGGACCTGATTGGAAGCTCCATGCTGGTCTGTGAGCAGGTAGAGTCTGTCCAGGTCCAAAAAAAAACAAAAGTAATGCGTCATTTTCTATTTAAGGTCAGAGGTAGCCTTTTGTGGACACCAGACCACTTACATCTGGATGCACATAGTGACATCGTGGGTAAACCATAGTCTGCTGTCAAAATGTGGACAAAAACTAAATAGACACGGATGTCACAATATGGACTTCCATCCCAATCTGGACCATTTCATCAGGGGATCTCTGCTCCTGAATCTCCTGCTGAACGCAGTGGAGCAATTGTGTGTGTGTGTAGGAACCCTAAGGCAATGCAAAGCTGATCATTTTGTTGTTGTTTAATACACAACATCCAAAACAGTTTTCCAGTTGTAACAGTATAAATGACATCATGCATGGAAATATACTAGGAGTAACATTTACGCAAAAAAATCACCCGTGGATTTCAGATGCTATTGAATTGAATAAGCCAGGAGGGAATTTCCATCAATGGCCTGATCCCGGGATAACTCAACAGGTATAAAAACCATGATATTAAGTACGTCTACGAGAATGCTGGTAAAGGCTATAATGAAAATCATAGCACAACGTATGTAAAAAGGTAATATAGAGAGAAAGTGGGAAAGAGGAGAGAAGAAAAGGTAAAAAAGAAGGGGAGTGGAAGAGAAACCGAGACCAGGTGCTATATACTCTCATTCTGCAATAAAACACATAGAATCACAAAATCACAGGTGGTATATGAACATTAAGTATTCAAGATGTGAAGTCAGAGATTATATCCATATATGTAGTGGAAGTTTTGAACTCGAACCAGCTGGCCCATATTTTGGAGTGTTGGCTAACTTTTCCCTTGGCAAATTAGTTAATTCTTCTAGGAAGCAAATGTCATCAACTTTGCATAGCCATTGAACTAAAGTCAAAACTAAGGTTTGACCCCGCAAAGTGTGGATTAAAGATTTAGCCAGATTTAAGAGATGGGGTGTAAAAGATTTCTTATAACAGCCTTTTATATTGAATTATGACAAAGACTCAGAGTTTGTGGGCTGAAATGGGGCTGAAACGCATCAATCATTTCACAGAATGGATTATTTTTATGCCTCGATGGATCATGAATAAAGAATTGCAATTTTACCTTATACTGTGTTGGTGCTGGACTTTCACTTATCCTATATCGGCTGACTGGTTCAGAGGTACAATGAAACAGAATAGATCAGGGGTCACAGGGGATATTGAAACCCAAATTTATATTCATTAAATGAGACACTCCTTGCCAATATGGTCATATAAGTGGACAATCCCACCATATATAAGCATGAGTAGTAGTGTCCACATTCTCTCAAACATAGGGATAAATAGGAAGGAAACATAGCATGGAGTTTCATAGGTGTATAATGCCAACATATTCAAAAATGTGCAAAAAAAAGTGGTGATTCAGTAATGACATGAAAGGTGAGTTACAGTCATGGCCGAAATTGTTGGCACCCTTGATATTTTTCCTGAAAATCAAGTATTTCACACAAAAAAGGTATTGCATTAACACATGTTTTGCTATACACATGTTTATTCCCTTTGTATGTATTGGAACAAATATAAAACAGAGGCAGAAAAGCAAATATGACATAATGTCACACAAAACCCCAAAAATGGGCTGGACAAAAGTATTGGCACCCTTAACTTAATATTTGGTTGCACACCCTTTGGAAAACATAACTGAAATCAGTCGCTTCCTATAACCATCAATAAGCTTCTGACACCTCTCACCCGGAATTTTGGACCACTCTTCCTTTGCAAACAGCTCCAGGTCCTTTATTGGAAGGACACCCTTTCCCAACAGCAATTTTAAGATCTCTCCACAGGTGTTCAATGGGATTTAGATCTGGGCTCATTGCTGGCCACTTCAGAACTCTCCAGCGCTTCTTTGCCATCCATTTCTGAGTGCTTTTTGACGTATGTTTGGGGTCATTGTCCTGCTGGAAGACCCAGGATCTTGGACGCAAACCCAGCTTTCTGACACTGGGCCCTACAGTGCGACCCAAAATCCTTTGGTAATCCTCAGATTTCATGATGCCTTGCACACAGTCAAGGCACCCAGTGCCAGAGGCAGCAAAAAACCCCAAAACATCATTGAACCTCCACCATATTTTACCGTAGGTACTGTGTTTTGTTCTTTGTAGGCCTCATTCCGTTTTCGGTAAACAGTAGAATGATGTGCTTTACCGAAAAGCTCTATCTTGGTCTCATCTGTCCACAAGACGTTTTCCCAGAAGGCTTTTGGCTTACTCAAGTACATTTTGGCAAACTGTAGTCTTGCTTTTTTATGTCTCTGTGTCAGCAGTGGGGTCCTCCTGGGTCTCCTGCCATAGCGTTTCATTTCATTTAAATGTCGACGGATAGTTCGCGCTGACACTGATGCTCCCTGAGCCTGCAGGACAGCTTGAATGTCTTTGGAACATGTTTGGGGCTGCTTATCCACCATCCGGACTATTCTGCGTTGCAATCTTTCATCAATTTTCCTCATCCGTCCACGACCAGGGAGATTAGCTACAGTGCCATGGGTTGCAAACTTCTTGATAATGTTGCGCACTGTGGACAAAGGCAAATCTAGTTCTCTGGAGATGGACTTGTAACCTTGAGATTGTTGATATTTTGCCACAATTTTGGTTCTCAGGTCCTCAGACAGTTCTCGTCTCCTCTTTCTGTTGTCCATGCTTAGTGTGGCACAGACAGACACACAATGCAAAGGTTAAGTGAACGTCTCTCCTTTTTATCTGCTTTCAGGTGTGATTTCTATATTGCCCACACCTGTTACTTGCCCCAGGTGAGTTTACAGGAGCATCACATGCTTGTAACATTCTTATTTATCCGCAGTTGTGAAAGGGTGCCAATACTTTTGTCCAGCCCATTTTTGGAGGTTTGTGTGACATTATGTCGAATTTGCTTTCTTTCCTCCCTTTTTTTGTTTTGTCCCAATACACACAAAGGGAATAAACATGTGTATAGCAAAACATGTGTTAATGCAATACGTTTCGTGAGAAATACATGATTTCCTGGAGAAATATCAAGGGTGCCAACAATTTCGGCCATGACTGTATATGACTATGAATGACGTTTATGGAGCATATCCCATATTGCCAGCGTGGAAGTACAGTTGCAAGAAAAAGTATGTGAACCCCTTGGGATTACGTGGAATTTTGCATGAATTGGGCATAAAATGTGCTCTGAACGTCATCTAAGTCACAACAATAGAAGAACACAGTCTGCTGAACATAATACTATACAAACATTTGATGTTGCCATGGTTAATTGCACATAACATGTAAATATTCACAGTGCAGGGAGGAAAAAGTATGTGAACCTTTGGACTTAATAACTGGTTGACCCTCCTTTCGCAGCAATAACCTCAACCAAACGTTTCCTGTAGTTGCAGATCAGACCTGCACAACGATCTGGAGTAATTTTGGACCACTCCTCTTCACAAAACTGTTTCAGTGTAGCAATATTCTTGGGATGTCTGGTGTGAATCGCTCTCTTAAGGTCATGCCACAGCATTTCAATCGGGTTGAGGTCAGGACTCTGACTGGGCCACTCCAGAAGGTGTATTCTGTGCTGTTGCAGCCATTGTTTTGTTGAAATACTTGTATGCTTTGGGTCATTGTCCTGTTGCATCACCCATCCTCTGCGGAGCTTCAGTTGGCGGACAGATGGTCGTACGTTTTCCTGCAAAATGTCTTGATAAACTCTGGAATTCATTTTCCCATCAATGACAACAATCCGTCCAGGCCCTGAGGCAGCAAAGCAGCCCCAAACCATGATGCTCCCTCCGCCATGTTTTACAGTGGGGATGAGGTTTTATGTGGGTGTGCTGTGCCTTTTTTTCTCCACACATAGTGTTGTGTGTTCTTCCCAAACAACTCAATCTTGCTTTCATCTGTCCACAGTATATTTTGCCAGTAGTGCTGTGGAACATCCAGGTGCTCTTTTGCAAACTTCAAACGTGCTGCAATATTCTTTTTGGACAGCAATGGCTTCCTCCGTGGTGTCCTCCCATGTACTCCATTCTTGTTTACTGTTTTCCTTATTGTAAATGTGTCAACAAAAATGTTAGCATGTGCCAGAGATTTCTGTAGGTCTTTAGCTGACACTCTGGGATTCTTCTTTACCTCATGCAGCATTCTGCGCTGTGCTCTTGCAGTCATTTTTACAGGACGACCACGCCTAGGGAGAGTAGCAACAGTGCTAAACTTTCTCCATTTGTAGACAGTCTGTCTTACCATGGACACATGAACATCAAGGCTTTTGGAGATACTTTTGTAACCGTTTCCAGCTTCATGCAAGTCAACAATTCTTGATCGTAGGTCTTCTGAGAGCTCTTTTTTCTGCGAGGCATGGTTCACATCAGACAGTGCTTCTTGAAACCAGTAAACTCAAAACAGGTGTGTGTTTTTTAAGGGCAGGACAGCTGTCAGCAACACATCCAATATCATCACACTGATTGGAGTCAAGGTTGGCTCACTCCTGGCTCCAATTAGCTCTGGGAGAAGTCATTAAGCTAGGGCCTCACATACTTTTTCCTCCCTGCACTGTGAATGTTTACATGTTATGTGCAATTAAACCATGGCAACATCTAATGTTTGTGTAGTATTATGTTCCGCAGACTGTGTTCTTCTATTGTTGTGACTTGGATGATGTTCAGAGCACATTTTATGCCCAATTCATGCAAAACTCCACGTAATCCCAAGGGGTTCACATACTTTTTCTTGCACCTGTAGTTAAGGGCGAGATAGAAGATGCCAAAGCCCTGGAGGAACTCAGGATCCACCGGACAATGGATAAGTCTGCTCCACATAACGTCGATTCTAAGTGCACCCAAAGCTTGGATCTTCTGGTGTATTTCTAATCTGATAGTCTGCTCAAGCCTATTGCATGGAAGTACATTTTGAATTTAGGGAGGGCTAAGCCCCCCAGACTTTTTTGTACGGAATAACGTTCTTCCTGATAACAGAGGGTGTTTCCCTTTCCAAATGTAATGGGACCCCTGTTAAATGTGTTAAATGATTTGTCTCAACCTTCTACCTGCCACTTTTGCTGGCTAGCTTCTCCTGTTAAAGGAGGTTGAAAATGAACAGGCTTAATGTCTGGATCACCAGGTAAAAATAAAGAGAAAACTAATGCAGTGCCACATTCGTAGAATTGATCAGCAGCAATATATTACATTGTTGCTATTACTTGTCAAAGAATTTACGCACGCACGCACGCACGCACACACACTAGTAAGTGCCAGGAAGAAGCAAAGCTAATTGTGGTTTCACATGTAGGGTTTGGTTTGTGTGGTAGAGACACCGAAATCACAAAAATCAAAGTGGTGGAAAAGTATTACTTTTGAAGGTGTTACAGTACACATGGATATACTCTAAACTTGTATTTTGCTGGTTGTCTGGAGTTTTGCTTTAATGTTGCTAGATCTTTGTTAATAGATAATGTTTTAGTGGCAATTATTAGAGGTTACGTTGATTTCTTCTGTTTCAGGCCAAGAATTGAGGAGAACATCCCCCTTAAAGCTCTGCTCTTTGACTCCACCTTTGATCATTATAGAGGAGTGGTGGCCAATATTGCTCTGTTTGGTGGGGAGGTGAGCAAAGGCAACAAAATTGTAGCTACCCACTCTGGAAAGATCTATGAAGTGAATGAGGTTGGCATATTGACTCCTGAGGAACTGCCAGCTGATAAATTGTAAGTTGTTTATATTGTTAGAAGATCATCACCTTTGCAGTCCCAAGTTGAAGTGATATATATATAAATATATATAAATAAAGGTGTGTCCAGAATATAATGAGAATGAAGTTCGTACGCTTAAGAAGGGTTCTGTGAAGGGAGAAGCTGGCCAAGGTCCCTTGGGGTGGGGTGCCAGGTATACGTCAGAACATTGATGAGTTGCAGTGCATTCCTGTCAGAGTCAAGACATTCTTTTTTTTTTTGACACCCTGTTTAAGTGCCTCGTATTAAGAAAAATGCAAGTATGGAACAGCACTACGCGATAAAATTTTGTATGAAATTGGGTAAAAGTGCGTCAGAAACTTTGGAAATGGTGAAGAAAGCTCTCATTTGCACAAGTGACCACCTCTTCATCAAAAATGAACAGAATGTGGATGCAGTGAAATCTGTTCTCAACCATGACCGATGACTCACTATCAGAATGATTGCAGAGGAAATGGAAATTACCAAGTTAGTTGTTCGTGAAATCATGACTCAGGATTTGAACATGAGAAAGGTATGTAAAACTTGTCACCTGATCAGGTGTAACACCATCAACTCGTTTGCCAAGACCTATTGGCCTGGTTGGAAAGAGAGATTGATTTTTTTTGAGTTGAGGGATCATGGGAGATGAATCCTGGGTGTTTGAATACGATCTGGAGACAAAGAAGCAATGCTCAGAATGGCACACACCCACGTCACCAAGAAAGTTCGAATGAGCAAATCAAAAGTTAAATCAATGGTAATTGTTTTACGTACTAATCAAACTGTGAATCAAAGATTTTACCTTTTCTTGGTCGCTCGAGACAAGGTTTTTCACGGGTGTCCTGAGATCGGCTCAACTTGGATTCTTCATCACGACAGTGCACTGTCAGTGTCACAGTGTCTGAAAAACACTTCGCAGTCTTTCCCATCCACCCTACTACCCCAGCTTGGCTACTTGCGACTTTTTCATATTCCCAAAGATGAAGAAGGGTTTGAAAGGACACCATTTGGCAGCGTGTGGACGACAACCAGAGAGACACTACGCAGGCTCTGAACATCATCCCACTTGAAGACTTCCAGGAATGCTATGAAGAATGGAAAAATCGCTGGGAGTATTAGGTATACTCACAAAGTGCATACTTTGAAGGAGACAATTTTCAATTGTAACATTTTTCAGTAATTTTTAAAATTTGATTCTCATTACTTTTTGGACATACCTCGTGTGTGTGTGCGCAGGTATGTGTGGTGTGCGCATGTATGTGTATATGTATGTGTATGTATGTGTGAGATAGATATATACACACTAAACACACACGCAATATATTGCCAAAAGTATTGGGACACCCCTCCAAATTATTGGATTTGGGTGTTCCAATCACCTCCATTGCCACAGGTGTATAAAATCAAGCACCTATGCATACAGTCTGTTTCTACAAACATTTGTGAAAGAATGGGTCGCTCTCAGGAGCTCAGTGAATTCAAGCATGGTACCGTGATAGGTTGCCACCTGTGCAAGAAGTCCATCTGTGAAATTTCCTTTCTACTAAATATTTCACGGTCAACTGTTAGTGGTGTTATAATAAAGTAGAAACAAGTGGTAGGCCATGTAAAATGACAAAGCGGAGTCATCGCATGCTGAAGCGCACAGTGTGTAGAAGTCACCAACTGCCTGCAGACTCAATAGCTAAAGACCTCAAAACTTCGTGTGGCCTCAGATTAGCACAACAACAGAGCATAGAGAGATTCATGGAATGGGTTTCCATGACCAAACAGCTGCATCCAAGCCTTACATCACCAAGTGTAACGCAAAGCATCGGATGCAGTGCTGTAAGGCACGCTGCCACTGGACTCTAGAGCAGTGGAGACGTATTCTCTGGAGTGACGAATCACGCTTCTCTGGCAATCCAATGGACATGTCTGGGCTTGGCGGTTTCTTGGGGAACCGTATTAGCCTGACTGCATTGTGCCAAGTGTAAAGTTTGGCGGAGGGGGGATTATGGTGCAGGGGCGGACTGACCATTTGGAAACTCGGGCACTGCCCGAGGGCCCAGGGTCAGTAGGGGGCCCCACGAGATGCTCCTGGTACCTTTTCCATAGGCTTCTTTGAGTTTTGGCAAAGACACAGGGGCCCCATGATCCCCTATTGCCCGGGGGGCCCCATGAGTTGTCGGTCCACCCCTGTTATGGTGTGGGATTATTTTTCAGGAGTTGAGCTTGGCCCCTTTGTTTTAGTGAAGGCAACGCTTAAGATATCAGCATACCAAGATATTTTGGACAATTTCATGCTCCCACCTTTGTGGGAACAGTTTGGGGATGGCCCCTTCCTTTTCCAATATGACTGTGCACCAGTGCACAAAGCAAGGTCCATAAAGACATGGATGAGTGAGTTTGGGGAGGAGGAACTTGACTGTACTGCATAGAATCCTGACCTGAACCCAATAGAACACCTTTGGGATGAATTAAAGCGGAGACTGAGAATCAGGCCTCCTCGTCCGACATCAGTGCCTGACCTCAAAAATGCCCTTCTGGAAGAATGGTCAAATATTCCCATAGACACACTTCCTAGAAGAGTTGAAGCTGAACTGCAAAGGGTGGGCCAACTCAATATTGAACCCTACGCACTAAGACTGGGATGCCATTAAAGTTCATGTGTGTGTAAAGGCAGGCGTCCCAATACTTTTGGCAATATAGTGTGTGCGTGTGTGTATATATATGCCTTCAGGCTTTTTCAGGGGTGCCTTGGTAAAATGCCCAAAATTGTATACAAGCCAGCAAGTGGATCAATCCTGCCTTTTAGTACACAAAGCCACAGCTTTTCATTGTGCACTTTTATGACCTTCTAGCTGCCAGCATCCTAACAACTAATGACATCATCAGTTGATAAGGAGGACGTCGGTTGCATGCACATCATCCTTGTTTGGCCCTGCCCCTCTCCGTCAGCACTGGGGTCACATTAGCAGAGTGAGGGAGAAAAAATGAGAGAGACACACTGGAATACTAGTCGGTACCAGTGTGCAAAGGTGTATTTGCTTTGGAAGAATGGATCACCTCTAACAATGGGTGTACTGGATGTGTGTAGTATATAGTTTTTTACATTTTAGATTGGGGTGCCTTGAGGTTGTGGAGAATTTTAAAGGGTGCCTTGAGATTATCAATAAATTTTAAAGGGTGCCTTGACTGAAAAAAGGTTGAGAAACACTGCTCCAGAGTACAGAGTCCCAGTAGTCTTCTTCTTTCAGCATGGGCCCTGCCAAATTCTAGGCGTACTTTTTTGTCCATGGGCTTTAGGAGAGGCTTCTTTTGCGGATGACATTCATGCATGCCATTCCTCTGCAGCGTATGCCATATTGCGTCATGGTAAGCAATCACCCCAGTTTGGCTTTCTACTTCTTTAGCTAACTGCAGTGAACTTGCATGGGGATTTTCTCCAACTCTCTCATCAGAAGACCCTCCTGTTGAGGTGTAACTTCCATGGGTAGCCTTGACGTCTGTGTGAAATGGTTGCAGATCCATTGTCGTTAAATTTTTGGATCACTTTTGCTACAGTATTTTGTCTGATGAGTAAAGCTTTGCTGATCTTCTTGTAGCCTTCACCTTTCTTGTGAAAAGAAATGATTCTCTTTCTCAGGCCTTGGGACATTTCTCTTCTATGTGGTGCCATTGCTGACAGCATGAAATGGGAAGGGGTTTTCTTTGTTAAGTAACGCCCTTTTATAATCAACTGTCTGTTGGACACCTGTTTAATGAATAATTAGACTCTCCTGTAGTTGAATTCTTGTTAATTAGGATTTTGTTGTCTAAAATGTAGCTTTTTTCTTAAGGCTTTCATTGGGGTGTATTCATTTTTGCAACATGGTCTTGAAAGAATTATTTTAGGAAAAATACTTTTTTGTGTGTGCAAATTAAAAAATCTTGTTTGCTATCAATGGCTGGCATTTGTGGGAGTATTTTGTAGTATTGCGTCCCATAGAAAATATTGATTCTGAAAGGAAAGTAAAGGTTTTCTGACAAATCTGTTGGGGTGTACTCATTTATGCTGAACAGTGTGTATGTATGTATGTATATATATATGTATATATATATATATATATATATATATATATCTGTTACAGTATTTGTGCCAGTATTTATTTAGAATAACAGTTTATATATTACAATGTTTTATTTGGGAATAGTTTCTATTTTATTGGTATGTGTATGAATTTATTCAGTGATCTTTTATTTTGTAGGTATGCTGGTCAGGTGGGGTACCTAGTAGCTGGATTGAAAGAAGTGCAGGAAGCACAAATAGGAGACACGCTGTATCTATACAATCAGCCAGTGGAGCCACTGCCTGGTTTTAAAGCTGCAAAGCCAATGGTATTCGCAGGTGAGATGAATTCATATGAGTTGCGTTATAACCGTTTTCATGTCAATAAACCATTGGGCCAAGTTTACACAGACATTCAAAGAAGGCACTCATTTCTGATCCCTTCAAAGTGCATCTCAAGTGACAGGTCTGATAGAAAACACACATGTACATGGTGGGCTACTGTAGCTTTGCAATGGACAAAACATTTGGTCATTATATTGTTCCTGGATCACAACTTCAAATACATGGTATTGAATACTCCTGTTTATGCAGTAGCCATGTGAACATAACGCTAAAGATAATGTGGGAATTTACTAAAAAAGGAGCAGGCAGAGTCTGGCAAATCTGTGCATAGTAACCCATCAGTATGTTCAGTTAAAGCGGAGCTAAACCTTACTATCCTTTACAGCCAAGGAAACTGCCATCTTAGCCTCTGTTGGATCTGCAGTTGCCACGGTGCTGCACTTGTGATAAGTTATCACCACCCATTTGATGGCTTGACAGTACGGTTGAGATCACAGGCAACTGTGACAGCATACCTTGACTGTAACAGTTTTGGGAAATGGTTAAATATATGGGTTTAGTTCCATTTTAAGCTTTGAAAATCAGAGCTAGAAGCTGATTGGTTGCCATGCACAGCTGCTCCAGATTCTGTCTGCTTCAGTCTTCCCTTCAATATCCTCTGTTGGGTTATATCTTTTTATTCAGTAGCAGTTAGGCTGGATTTCATTCATTCTATTATGGGATAGCTGGAGAAGGGTCCATTGGAATGTAGTGATTACATTGTGCTCTTTCATAGGTCTGCCATCCTCTATTAGAAATTTTTGAATTTTAGGCTAGGTAATAAAGAATTGAGCACCAACGTATTGATAACTTGGATTGTTCTGTATCCATATGTATGCTGTTAAGAATGCCAGCCATGCCATGTTTTCTTCCATACTTGTGGTGTTGCATTCAGCATTCTTATCAGCTTAAATGTTCATACACCAAACTATCCATTCAGAATGGACATAGATAAATTCTATATGGTATGGACATAGTTAAGTAGAACTCCAGATTCAGCCTTAAGATATGATATAATACACATGACCATGTTGTAAATATATTGTATAAGTCATCCATATGCAAATGAGCTTTCCTGACAACCACAATAATTAGTTGTCAGCGTGTGAGTTATAGCTGCTTTGTGGAAAATAATTTTCAGCTTATCTAGAATGTCATATTTTTGTTGGTACTGTGAACTACACAATATACTTGCTGTACAGAGAACACCATCTAATGCAGCCTTTCTCAACCTTTTTAACCCTTAAAATAACCTTTTGGCTTAAGGGAAACCCTACTAATAATTATTATATTTACAGCTCACAGTACATTAGTGTAATGGTCAGTGGGAAGAATGCTCCTTACAGTTGAGGTAATTTCAAAGAATTCAAACCCCCCACCACCACCACCATCACCTTCCCCGTTAGATAACTAAAAATATCAGTGGTGTCAACGGCTACTCATCTGGGAGGCAGAAATTACTCATTACTCAAGGAATCCCTAGCAACCACTGGAGGAACCCTGCTCCAATGGTTCAAAAGGCAGTTCCTTTTTTTTTTCCAGGAACCAAGGGATGCAGGGTTTTATCTACTTTTGTGTCAGCTACTTGCAGTTGCATGCAGAGAATGGGGATCTGCACCAGAAAGCTGCATACTTGAATTTTCAGCATAGAAGAAACAGTGTCTTGAAACAGTGAGAGCTTTTTTTTTTTTCTGAAATAGCAGAGCATTTCTTAGAGTTTAGCTATAAATATTAATTCCTGCAGTTCCTCATTAAGGCTAGGTTTACACTTGTACGTGTGCTTTTCATCTGTTTCCGGTGTGTATTTGCAGAGCATTTTGATGCGTTTTCATGTTTCATGCATTTTTTATGTAGGAAGAGACTGGTTGTTAAACACAAAACCCTTCTACGCATGTACATGCATTTTTGATTCACTACCCTTGAAGTCTATGGCCCCAAAAATACACCTTCCTGCATGAAAAAAGTCCCTGCACCTCTTCCAAAAACGAGGTTCAGGAAACTGCATAGATGTGAACAGAACAGGACCCATAGGAAACCATGTTAAACCGACTGTTGTGCGTTCCTACACTTAACTACAAAATGCACAGGTGTGCACCTAGTCTAAAATAGACAGCCAAATATTTTTTGTTTGTGTTGTATAGAGTAGAGAAATGGGTAAAACTCCCATCAATTTTTTTTCCGTCTGTGTACCACTGGGGACATTTATCTTATTTCTTCTCCCAGGGGCACAACAAGACGTTAGTGGAAATCTTCCAAAGTAAGGAGAATTCCCCTTTAGCGAATGTACCCTATTTCCCCACTTCATCCAAAATTTGAAAAATAGGTTTTACCTAGAGATAGGCTTTAAGAAAAGTGTCACCTTAAAGTGGTTGTAGACCATGAACAAAGCATGAAGTGTTTTTTCTGTCTCCTGCTTTGCTCCTCTGCTATCAGCATAAAGCACTTTTGACAAGTTTTTCTCACGCCAAGAGAAAAAAATGGTGACAGGGGAGGGATCTCCATCTGATTGACAGCCTCAACTCTGCCCCTGTGAGATTTGTGAAGGGGGGTGTGTCTCTTCCCTTCAATCAGCTCTCAGAGCTCTCCTCACTGAGCTCTGCAGAGTTTAATGTCCACTCTCCACACCCTGTTTTCTGACAGTTCAGACAAACTTTAGAAATTCAGGATTTTGAATAGATTTACAGAAGAGAAGACTGTAGATAAACAGGTATAACTTTTGTAGGAGGATCTGTTTTAACTCTGTGTGTTACTGGATGCCAGTAACTTCACTGGGTATATGTAAGGGTATATTACCGCTCAAATAATTGTTAAAAACACACACACACATTTTTTTCCCCAAGGTCCATTTCTGTTTAAAATTGAACTAGTTAATCTTATAAATGAGATTTATTGACACTCACCTAAGGAGATATCTGCATACAATCTTATATATAATATCCTAGCAAGGCAGTTGGTCCCATACAGAGAAAATTAGCTTACTGAACAGTTTTTTAAACATAAAGAACTGCCCAGCCTTTTCCTTCAGATGCATGTAGCAGGAACATGTAATTCTTCTAAATATCTAAAAACTAAAAAAAAAAAAATTAGCAGGCGCTAGGACCTCAGATACTGCCAGGATTTTGCCATTGTCAGGAATTGTTGGTGCACTGCGGATTGATACGCAATGGTGATAAATAATGCATGCAGCATCTCTCTTCAGGTCGTCTTTGAAGTTTGTTTTTCTCTAGGCTGAATGATGGACTAAGATAATGTATTTGCATGATAAAGTTGGAGATAAACAATTAGCAGCTCATTTCACATGTCTCCTGTTGTGAAAGGCATGTTTCCAGTGGACCAATCAGAGTATAACAATTTGAAAAGCGCCTTGGAGAAGCTGGCTTTAAATGATTCCAGCGTGTCTGTTACCCGGGACAGCAGTGCAGCACTTGGAGCCGGATGGAGGTCAGTGTGTTCTGTTACTGTATAGATGAATAAATACCTCTACAAAGAATGAAAAGAAGTATATTATAAATACTGATCAGCGAAATTATATATTTGTATTAAACAGAAATCTAAACCGGGATAATTCTTTGAGCATGATCAAGGAAGGAGAATGATATTGAAAGCTGAAGGATAATGAAGGTTGGTGTAGGGCTGGCCATAGATGGCTTAAATTTCAGATTTCTGCTGAAATAGTCAAAATTCAAGCAGTGGGTGCTCCTGCAAGCACCACCCGGTTCAACAAATGTCAATTTAAAGCTGATTTGCAGGTTTACTGTCAAGCTGGCCCAAACAAACTATTTCCTACACTAACAGGTGTGCCCGCTGATCATGCAGTTTAACCTCAGCTACACATAGTATACAGCACTGTGTTCCAGCTGTGAGATGCATACTTCCCATTTCACACCTAGAACAAAATTAGTGTGGGCTGAATGCTGCTCAGCCATTCATAGGCAGCTTTATATTCTCTAAAAACAAAGCTTCCTCTGGTTTGGCTGAGGTGGAGATTATGACTTCATCAACCCACCTCTCTGCCTTAGCCAACCATTGGAATCTTTCTTTTACAAAGGGTTTTATTATAGAATAAGCAGAGATAAACCAACATTCAAGAAACATATACATTGACCAACAAATATGAGACATACAGGGCGTTTGAGAAATATTTCAGAGCATGTACTGGTAGAAGCATAAGCATAAACTGAATATTTAAGTGCCATGGAAGAGAAGACAGGGAAGGGAGAAAAAAAAAGAAAAAGGGGAGTAAGAGGGAAACAGCGAGCAAATATTTGGAGGTCAATGACAATGCAAACTCTTAAGAGAAATTTTTTTTGCTATAGCAGCGCCCAGAAAACAGGAGAGGCATAAGGTGAAACCTCCCCAGAGGTTAATATACATTCCAGACGTTGGGCTCACAAAGGAGTCCAGGTTGCCTAGGTAGTATTGCTGATGTAGCACTCAGAGCAAAGAACACAATCATTACAATTGGCATAAGAACAGATTGGACAGAAGGATAGAGAAAGACAGTCGATGGGAAGACAAGGACAAAAGAAAAACATAAAAAAAAAAAAAAACAAAGACAAAAACGATCACAAAAGGGCTCCAGGGCAACTGCAACAGAATCAATCCTTATATCAACAGAAGGGACTGGTCAAATCTCGAAGGTTGGGCTGTATCCAGCCAGGGACGCTATATCTGCAAGAATTTTGTATGGGTATCCAACAGTATAGCGGTCAGTTTTTCATTAACCATTATGAAGTTCATCCGGTTTTTGACAGCCTCAAAGCTGAGGAGAGGAGTCTTCCAAGCCCTCGCGATTGTCAATTTAGTAGCCATAAATAAATGTTATGCCAGCTGACGTTCAGGGTGGAGAAGGCCCTCCAGTGGTTTAATCAGGAGCGCTTCGTACGGGTTATGCTTAATATCTGCGTGAAACATAGTGCGGAGAAGGGCATAAACCCTAATCCACAATCTGCTAACCTTAGGGCAAGTCCACCAGATGTGAACCATAGTACCCAATTTTTGGCACCCCCGAAAACAAGCCGGAGAATATGTAGAAATAAAATTAGCTAGATGAGCAGGTGTATAATACCACCGATAAAGAATTTTGTAGGCATTTTCGAGAATGATTACATTCCTGGAACATATAGATAATGCTTGGGTCATGGTCCACCAATCCTGTTGATCCAAAGTCCCCCCAAGTTCCGACTGCCAACGTTGGTGATAGGAACAGACTGGAGGAGTTCTGTAAGAAATATTGGAAGAGTAAACCAAAGAGATCAGACCCGGAGCATGGGGTCTATGTCTGCACTGGCTTTCAAAGGGCGGCAGACGGTAAGGTCCCGAGTGCGTTCGTATGAGTGTATTAATAAAGTGAGGGAGTTGAAGGTAACCAAAGTGTTCCCGCAAAGGGATGTTATAGGAAGAGCACAAAGTTTCAAAGGTAAGTATTCGAGTAGGGGGAAAGCAACGAATGTACATTATAAAAACCATGTGTTTGCCACCAGGCAAATTGCCTAGGATTGTCCCGGCCTGGAGGGAACAATGGGTTATGTAACAGACGTAACAACGGTAGATGGGCAGAAATAAGACCAGCGGAATATTTAATGGAATCCCAAAGATGAAGCGAAAGCGTCAGCATCGGGCTAAGGGTTGATGGACGATGAGAAAAAGGAAGCCACGGTAAAAAAGAGAGTGGTATCGGATGGGAGTCTAACAAATATGCAGTAGACCACAAGGGAAAATGATGAGATGCATGAATATGAGCTACAACCATTGGAATCTTTCTATTCAGAGAGTACAAAGCTGCCTATGAATGGCTGGGAAGTGCTCAGTCCAACACAGTTTTGTTCCCAGAGTGGGAAGGGAAGTTTGCATCCTACAGCTAGAACACAGTGCTATACTGTAACTATAACTGAAGCTACACCTACGTTATATACCGTGTCCAGCCGGTGTGTAATAAATAGTTTGTTTGGGTCAGCTTGGCCAAAGAACTAATTAAAGTGACAGTAAAGCTGGAGTAAACTGCACCCAGCAGACTTGCAAGGCACCTAAACAGTTAACTGTTTAAAATAAAAAATATATTTTATTTATACAATTAAAACATGACCTAAAATTACAGCACATTTATATTCAATATCATAAGTATGTTCAACTCATGCAAACGGATGTCCCACCTGCAGTAAATATAATTGTATAAAGCAATTTTTTTTATATAACGACCAATACATATAAGAAATTTGAGAATATGTGACATATCAAACTGGGGGTGAGACTACCTTCTTCAGGAGTACAGATGCGATATACAGTGTAATACTGTATTTGTAAGGGTGCTGAAGTACTGGAAATTACTGCCATTATATATCTACTGGCAAGTGCCAAGACCATCCAGGTGGATAATAAAGGGTGGGAAGCATCAATATTCTAAGTATAGATTGCAGTAAGTATGAGCATACATATGGCAGAAGCAAGGGCCATCTAAAGATGATAGTGTCATAATCCAACAGGCATCTAATGAGAGTATGTAATTCAGACCACTAATACCGAGGAATTGCTCTATACAATATATGTCAACAAATCCTGTAAGCATTAGCATGATAGAGACCATAGGCAGTTAATTAACCATCAGTGGATGCGACGCCACTACAACCACCAATGGAGACATTCAGGCTGCTTGTCTTGTTGAATTGGATTACACCACTGATGGTTATGGAGTCATGTATGACTAGCTTAGTATGAAAAGTGATATGGCTGAAAATAATTTTATATTATTCATAAACTATTTGCACAGGTTTGGAAAACTTATTAAATACTTTTTATACAACTTATTTTTTGCATTTTTTTTCTGTTAAAAAATAGTGAAGGGTTTAATATTGCACTGTAAATGTAGCAATGTACCAATCTATGCCATTAGAAAAGATGCATTAACCTTGAGAATCTTCACAAATGAAATGAATGAGAGACCCTACACTCTAGAGGCCTTAATTCTTAAAATATGTACCTATGGTTTTAAGTGAATACAATGGGCCACTTGTTTGGCATTGGTGCTATTAAGAGAACACCTTGCATTTTTCTCATCAAATGCATTTCCTTCCCTGATTAATCAAGGTGAAGAGGCAGGGCAATAATGTTAAAATCACCACCTTGTCCAATCAAAGAACGCCTTCTATCCATTGAGAAAAATACATGGTGTTTTTTCTGAATGACTCCTGTGCCAAATTACTATGGTGGCAGGGCAGCTGCTCGGCATTGGGACCCAGAAGACTGTGATTGGCTTCCACAGGGAATTGCCAGGTATAGAAGCAGGACCAATAGAATTCATCTTTAAAGTGAACCCGTTAGTTTTGTAAAGAGCAAGGGATGGGTAGAACCTCTGTCAGGGTTTGTTTTCTGTCTGCCAGAGATACAACAGAATGTGAACGAGGTCTCCTAAAAGTGAACAAAAATCCTGCCTTTTTGTCATCAATTTTACCCCATCGGGAGATTCCTCATTTTCTGTCCTGTTGTCAGCCACAGAGATGGCAATAAAACCAGACCATAAAATAAGGCAATAAAACCAGACAATTTTGCCTGTAATATTGCTGTGAATTGTTTTGCTACATACCTCATCTGTGAGAAGTAGTAAAAATATTTTTCTATAGGTGTAATGTCTGCATGTTGGCTTCACAGTGGCTGCATGCTTGTGTGGCAACAAGGACACTGTAATTCCTAGATATCAGTGGGTGGAGGGTTACGATAACTTTTGTATTAACTACTCAACTAATCCTTCTTATAAAATGAAACTCAATCTTATGCCAGACCGGCTCACAAAATCTAAAGCACATATTTCTACTGCAACCCGGCAAGTCAGTGCAAAAGATTGTCTTTCAGAATCCCTTTCCTTAGCAGCTGTGAGAAATAAAATATATTGGACATAACGAAAAACTGATTGAAAAATTCACAGATGCAAATTATCCATAAAGCGTGTGACCCATGGGTTTCCCACTTTATGCCATCAGATTTTGATTGACGTCTGATGGACCTCAGGAGGGCCTACATTTTGCTTTCTATTAACTATTTCACAAGTTCCAAGGTGCTCCTCTCCTCCCTTCACCTCCTTATCCATTTCTCATATTGTCTCTGTTTTTTTTCTCTTCGTCTTCTATGCAGTAACTAATGCAAACTATCATGTTGTGCATTATGCAAAGATTTATGGATACAGTACTGCCCTCTGTTGGCTCTTTGCGAATGCCTTCTGGTTGACTAGTTTGCTGTATCTATACGTTGATCTCGTGTTATTGTATATGAACATGTTGCAGCACCTTTCGACTTTGTGTACTTTGATTTTTTTTTTGTACAATAAAAATTTTTTGGACAAAAAAAGACAAACTTTTCAATGCATATGCATTTTAAAAATTAATTCCAGGTATGGCTATTTTTACACAGTTATATTGGTCTAGCGGTGTCTACTACAGTGGTTTCCAGTTTCTAGGAGGATCACACCAGTATGGTATATAAATATTTACACTGGTCCAAGCTAAACTAATGTAGCTATGTATAAAATATCCGTACCTGAAATCATCTTTAACCTCATTATGTCTGGTATGTTTTCCATGCTATTGCCATTTTCTGAAAATGTGAGAGCTTGACAGTTGTTGTTTTGCTTTTTTAGTTGAATTAATTCAACCAGATCAATAGGACATGTATTCAAGCTTTAGCTTTTTTATGGGAGTAGATCCTTCCAAAAATATTAACAAACACATTTATGTGTCCGCTTTTTTTTTTAAGATAATAGAACTCATTTTTGTTTTATAAAGCAAAAAAAAAGCTAGCATCAAATACATTCTTTTTTCTTGTTTTTTTTTTTTAAGCATTAAATGGAAAATAATACTTTACTTTCTATTTGCGTTGCCTATCTTATTATGTTTTTCATTGCCACTCTTTTGAACACGTAGCTACACAAATGATGTATGTCAATAACTATATACCTGCACAGGTTGGGTTTTCTTGGGCTTCTACATATGGAGGTTTTTAACCAAAGGCTGGAGCAAGAATATAATGCATCTGTGATAATGACATCACCAACAGTCCCATACAAAGCTGTGCTCTCTTCGCCAAAACTTATAAAGGTAAGATGTCTGCAGAGATACATTTACTCCTTATTTATTACAAGTATTTATATATTGGCAGAAATATTTTGCAGCATTTTCCATATTCACATCAGTCCCTGCCCTCAATATGCTTACAATCTAATTTTATGTAGTGTAGTAATACAAATAAATCAGTAAGCCTTTATTTATTTATTTTAATCAGTAAAAGGGACATACTTAAGACAATGTTTCTCTTGTTCTTTAGTTGGAATCTGATGTCCTCTGAACCCCCCCCCCATCCCCCACAGTGGTAATCTACCGGTGGTGTGAGGGTTAATAGACCTAAGGCACCTGTGACAGGCACCCCTCAAGAGTGCTAACAATGCCTGCTCTTCCCACCTTCCTCCATTCTTAGAAGTTGTACTACAGCTTTCAAAAACTAAAAACTATCTATGAATGAGAAGGCCAACTTTCATTCATCTGCCCATCCTCCATTCAGACTGCTTTTCATTCAGAAGAACACTGCTTCAGGGATAAGGGTAGAGTTTAGAGGACTTCAGATTTCAACTAAAATAGCAGCCATCAGCACAAGGGATACTTAGCATTGATAGTAAGTACTGTCCCTTGCGCTTATTAAAAAAAAAAAACTAAAAACCTTAATTTTAACTTAAAAGGAAGTGAGAATCTTCACATAAATTGTGTGAATATTTACTGTATTATCCAGTCATGTACAGATTAAATATATTTAACAGGAATGACTGGATAATTGAAGTGAATATTCACACAATTTATTATGCAAAGATTCTCAACATCTTTAGTAAATAAGCCTCTAAGGCTTTAAAATGAACCTTATATCGCATTTAAGACAAAGTAATAGATTTACTAAATAGATTCACTGAGCATGGTTTAAGCTCAGATGAGGCTGACTTGGAGCTTCCAAAAACCTAAGGAACACCCTGACCCCACCATCACCACATGACTGTGCTCAAGCCTAATCATTTTCCTGTGTGGTATCCAGCATGGCATCATAGGAGGAGTAGGAGGGAAGTCAAATACTCACCCATACTAACGAACCATAGAAAATAGAGGCCTAAAGAATAATAGGTATTGCCTGACGTACATAATTTGCCCAGTAACCAAAAAACCTGCAGCAAAAACCATGAAAAGAGATTCATAAAGAAAGCGGTTACATAGAGGACACATGCAATACTCAAATAGTATTCAAAGATATGCTTTATTGGCAAAGTTGCACATAGAGAACCATTGAGTCAAGACTGCAAATAGACATCACCTCAGTTGTGGACAATACACAAGACAACCTTAAAATAAAAAATAAAGAGAAACATCATGGCAGACCATAGGTGGTACTATGCTATTGAGGCAACGACTCACAGGTCTTTTGCATCAATAGCAAAGGCACATCGGGGTACACCACCATGGTGGGGAGATATTTATAAGATGAAAGCATATCAAATAGACTATGCATCAACAGTAGAGACATGTAAAACTCCAAAATAGCTGGAAATAGGGCCCATAAGACAATACTTTGGGGCTGGAATAGACCAACTTGGATGTACATCATACATGCAGTGTGATATCAAAACATTACCATAGGGACATATATATGTATCTGGTACTGGTAAACCATGAATCAAATATCATAATTAGAAGACACAGTCCTCAAGGTGGATGATAGGCCTATGATAGGCCATAAATAGAACGTGGTGATCCTTGATGAGATATAAATCAACATCCATAGGCAGATAGTAATGAGCAGAGAGCTATATATATAGATGTATTATCTTGAGTTGTAGGGTATCCATTATTCAACCGCTGTCTGGAATATAAATGGCAGAGCCCTGCCAGCATGTAGAAATAGCTATCCGCCAGATGTGAGTTATAAGTCACTTTAACTGGATCAGGTGGAAATGATGAATAGATCTTTGATGGACTATACAGATAAGATGCTGTGCACCAACTGTGAGATATAACATTGTATCTCCATCCACCTGCTCGGTCAAAAGATAGCCACACGTTGTTCCTCCATTTGCTGGATTCCATGCTCCAAGTATCGGAGGCAGCCGCCAACTCCAAGAGCCCCAGTAATCAGGCCCCGCTTCCTGAGTAGTTCACAAAGTGATCGATAGATGCCTTGCATAAGCGTGATGTTCCGTGTCCCCATCGGGACTTAGTGTATGGTGCGGATGCGCCGGGCCGACGTGCACAGCATCTTATCTGCATAGTCCATCAAAGATCTATTCATCATTTTCACCTGATCCAGTTACTTAAAGTGACATAATAACTCAGATCTGGCGGATAGCTTTTTTTACATGCTGGCAGGGCTCTGCCATTTATATTCCAGATGGTGGTTGCCTTATGGATACCCTACAACTCAAGATAATACATATATATATATATATATATATATATATATATATATATATATATATATATATATATATATATATATATAATCTGCTCATTACTATCTGCCTATGGATGTTGATTTATATCTCATCAAGGATCACCACGTTCTATTTATGGCCTATCATCCACCTTGAGGACTGTGTCTTCTAACTATGATGTTTGATTTATGGTTTACCAGTACCAGATACATATATATGTCCCTATGGTAATTTTTTGATATCACACTGCATGTATGATGTACTGTACATCCAAGTTGGTCTATTCCATCCCCAAAGTATTGTCTTATGGGCCCCTATTTCCAGCTATTTTGGAGTTTTACATATCTCTACTATTGATGCATAGTCTGTTTCATATGCTTTCATCTTATCTCTCCCCACCGTGGTGGTGTACCCCGATGTGCCTTTGCTATTGATGCAAAAGACCTGTGAGTCATTGCCTCAATAGCATAGTACCACCTATGGCCTACCATGTCGTCTCTCTTTTTTTTTTTTTATTTTAAGGTTGTCTTGTGTATTGTCCACTATTGAGGTGATGGCTATTTGCAGTCTTGACTCAATGGTTCTCTATGTGCAACTTTGCCAATAAAGCATATCTTTGATTACTATTTGAGTATCGCATTTGTCCTCTATGTAACCGCTTTCTTGTGAATCTCTTTTCACGGATTTTGCTGCAAAGACTCACCCATACCTGGAGGAACTAGGAATTTCTCATCTCCAGCAACAGGGGAGGGCAGGGAACAGCTGGGGGAACTCTCAAGTGAGCTATTACTTTCCCCTAAATTGGAAAAGTACAGGTTGCCTTTCAAAACCAAAGCTATATTTAAATGAGTGCTTTATAAACAGGCAGGGTAAAATATTTATATTCCTTATATGTGTGTGAAAGACCAGTTTTTCCAACAACTAATCACAGGGCATGGACAAAGGTTCTAATCTAGGAAGTGAAAGCACAGCGCTTTACAATATAAAGGGAGACAGTATAATTACAATACACACTAATTATTGCTAGCCGCTATAGCCGCTGGCAATAATCGCATAAGAAATTCGACATAGCGGTTGTACCCAAGGCGTACAAGGATTAAGAGGGCCCTGCTCATAAGAGCTTACAATCTAATAGACATGCTTGAATAATAGGTTTTCACTCTATAATAATAGTATCATCTAACGTACCTTTCTGTTCCGCATAGATACATTTGCCTGTAAAATAGTACATCTTGCTTTCTTTACAAGTATATCCTATTAATACCCTATAAATCCCATACCAGTAAGCATGAACAGTTGCACAGTTTATTAGCTATCTGTGTAGGGACTATTACCTATATATAATTGAATAAACATGTCTAGTCTTCTCACATAAAATGATTGATTTAGGTTGGCTTGTCCCCCACAAAGAAAATCAGCTTGTCCTCTGAAAAGCATTGTCTACATTGCCATACACCATATTCTCATCACACACTTTAAGTTTCTCCTCTGCCCCTTATTCTATTCAGCCTGGTTTTTTATAGGTCAGCCATCATCTCAATATCTATCCACTGACATTTTCCAGAGCTTTTGCCAGCAGCTTAAAGGTCCTTCTCTGTCAGTTTCTCCTGCCTCCAGCATGGTCCTGACAGACGTTTCTAAACTAAGATACAAGGTTCTTGTGTCATTGGCCAGAGTGAATATAATAGAGAGCGGGTGAAAGGAAAATGCTTCATATTTCTAAGTAACTTGACCTCACCTGGTATTATGGTTTGCTGTAACTCTGCCCCACTCCATCCAAATACTTGGGGGGAGTTCTATTGCTTCTTGTTACTTTACAGAAGGGCTCAAAATTTCAAGTCGTGCGCTACTAGCCAGGACTTGAGAGTTACTCGTCACCAGTTGCCCCACCCAACCCATAACCTGCACCACCCCTAATTCTGCCCCTAAACATGCCCTCATAAATTATCTCATGAAATGGCACTGTTAAATGTTTTATGCAGAATGAAGGAAGGAAGAAAGGAAATGGTATGGAGGGAGGGGTGGAAGGAAGGGAGGGTGGAAGGAAGGATTGGAGGGGAAGGGGGAAGGGGTTGGTGGAAGGGTGGGTGGGTGGAAGGAAGGAAGGGGTGGGTGGAAGGAACGGTTAGTGGAAGGAAGGAAGGGTGGGTGGAAGGAAGGAAGGAAGGGGTTGGTGGAAGGAAGGGAGGAAAGAAGGGGTTGGTGGAAGAAAGGAAGGGGTGGGTGGAAGAAAGGAAGGGGTGGGTGGAAGGAAGGTAGGTTGGACTCGCATGTTCATTCAGAAGCATCAGAGCTGTCGGCTACTCTGTGTTTGATTTTGGGCACAGGGGGAGGCCGAGCAGATCCAGCCTATCTCTCCTTCTCCTTCAATGAAGCAGCTAAAAGCTGCAGGAGGGAGAGGAGGAGAAGTGGCTTCCAGCTGCTTCATTGAAAGCAATACTGGAGATTGCTGCTGGTCACCGCTGCACAGATCATACCTGATCGTTCCGTTTCTTTCCTGGCCCCCTCCACCCCCACTGTGTGATCCTCAGTGCCCAGTCTCCTATTGGTGCGGTGGATAGAGGGAGGGGCTGGAGGGGCCAGAAATGAAACGGAATGATTGGGTATGATCTGTGCAGCGGTGACAAGCAGTGATCTCATGTATTCAATGAAGTAGCTGGAAGATGCTTCTCCTCCTCTCCATCCTGTGGCTTTCAACTGCTTTATTCAAAACCATACAAATCACTGCTTGTCACCGCCCCCATCGCCCACCCCTCCCACACAACCCTAGTCCAGGTGTTGCTCACCCCCACCTTATTTCCACTCGCCCAATGCAAGCTACCTTACAGCACTCCTGAGCACTCTATTGTTTTATATGTTGTCATCATTCTTTCTGTAAGTTGTTTATATACTATAATTTCTCATTCTGATCTGTGACTGTTTAGGACTATGGAGCAGAAGAAATTACTATTGTAAACCCCTGTGAATTTCCTGATAAAACTGTAGCATCCGAATACCTTGAACCTATGATACTGGGCACAATCATTTCTCCGGATGAGTACCTTGGAAAGATAATGTCACTTTGCCAGGTCAGTACTTTTTATTTTCCATGCTAAAAAAGGATCTGTAATTATTGAAATAAGTATCATTCAGTATGATGGAAGTTGTGACATTTGCCATTATATTCTATAGCTACTTCATTGCTACTATGCTCCATACAGCTGGGCTGACTCTCAGATGAGAGTTGGACTTCATTGTCCCTTTTTGGACCTTCACTCTTTGTGGCATTCCACTCTAAAGCCAGCCATAAATGATACAATTCCTGCAACCAAAGGTTGCAGGAAAGAAAATTTCAGTGCTAATTGGGAAATCCCTCCATGGAGCTATTGTGTTCTCCTGGCATGGGGGGGGAGCTGTCTTTTCTCTGATTATTGCTAGTGGCTATAGCCGCTGGCAATAATCGCATAAAAAATCCGACATGCCGGTTGTACCCAAGACATACAACAATTCAATTGGGTACAATCAGCCTGCCCATAGATGGTTTGAATCTCAACCGTCCCTGCTGAACTGGCCAAGATTCAAAACATCTAAGTCAGCTAGACAGAAAACATAGATTAGAAGGAAGAATGCTATGGAACACAGGGGGAGTGCCCACCAGGTGATCATGTTTATTGTAATCACTCTTGAGATTAACCCTGATTTGCAACTTTCCTGATCTGTCCCACTTGTCCTGCAATCAGCAGCATGACATAATCTAAATTAAAAATGAAAACCTCTTACATATCACAGCAATTAGTTCTAATTCTCTGATTGATAAAACACTGATAAGCATGTTTACTTGTACAAGCTGTTGGGAGACAGAATGAGCAATGGAGCACAGGAAACCTAAGATACATAAACAAAAGGTCATTTTGGAAGAGTGATAATAAAAAAAAATTCTGAATACTGCAGGTATTGGCACAATTCTCTTATATAATAAACTCTACCAAGGGGTTAACACCTGTCAGTTGTTATTGTAGTCTGTGCCCGTTAGGGAGATTCATCCTCTCCTTTTGTCCTGTTTATCATTATCATCGAACGTAAAAGAAAACCCAAATTTTGGGTTGTCCCCGAAAAAGAGGTGAAATCTTCCAATGGGGGACATTGGTTCTGGTGACCTGGGGGTCCCCAAGGAATTCCCTTAATTTGCAGGGATTTCCTCTCATTTTCTGTTTTAGCTATAAGACAGTAAGTGAATGTAAATCTCCCCAATGGGACACAGATTGCAAAAAATAAAATGACGGGTTATAAACCTCCCTCACCCTATCCAAATTGAAAAAAAAAAGGTTTTGCCTATAGTTCTACTTTAATTATGGGTACACATACTAGAATTAACATTTTAAAATTGAATTGTGAAAAGTCCCGCATTTAGGGTCCTGTTCACACCTGAGTGCACTGGAATCACGGGCACGGGGAGAATTGAATGATTCTGCCTGTAATTCCAGAACTGCAGCAAAATGTGCGGCGCAGTTTATTGGCTTTATTTCCTAACGGCACCCCAAACGTGGTGCAATTTTGCTTAAATTGGCGTGCAACAAAATGCATGAAAATCACGGCAAAACAGGCAACACCAAATGCACCTGGTCCAATGCCAAAATTTGGTACATGAGCTTATTTGGCACGTTTTTGGAGCAGAGGGAGGCCCATTCAAAATGAATGTTGCCGCCACAAAAATGAGACGCTGCAGCATCACTCAGGTGTGAACAGGGACTTATGTTGGTGAGTTCAGAGACTCTGATAGCGTCAATGCCCTATCCCTACAATAAATCGCCTAACTACCCTCATACTAACTGAACTTTATTGATAGATTGTACTATATTGTGTGTAATGAGTCCATTGCTTCTGTAAAGGTTTCTCAGGTCTTTAATCACATACCCAGTTTAGGGTTTCCTTCTTATTTTTTAGCCAAAATATCCTTGGAAAGACTCACTTTCTTGTCTACTTGTCTTTCAATGTCTACTTTCACTTCCTCTCCCTGTACCTGTTTCCCATCCTCTTTTTTTCCATTTACCTTCTATCCTCCCTTTCCCTGTTTTCTCCCTTAAGTTTTTCCACAACTGTTCTGTACATATGATGTTACCAGATGTGAGGGTTGCCAAACATCAGTAAATTTCCAGACAGTTTAGAAAAATCAGCAATTTTTACAACTGTCTGTAAATGTCAGGGGCTGATAATTTTTCATGCTGTGTTTGACTTTTGTAAGTATAAACCCAGTGAAATTACTTATTATCGGTATTGTCAGAGATTCCATATTGTGTTTATACTGTTTAAATATTGATTGTCTTAGTTTTTAATGTCATTTTTTAGGTTGTCAGTTAAAAATATGCTCTGTCAGTAAATTTTCCATGCTTTGTCAGTAAAAAATGCTGTGGAAGGTTGGTAGCACCTCCAGATGCTAAGTGTCACTATCCTATATATCACTTTTATATACTGAAAATTTTTAATAAAAGATATTTGAATTAAAATATATTTGTGTTTCCAGACCCGACGTGCTGAACACAAAAGTTTTATGTACATTGATGAGCACAGGATCATGCTGAAGTATCTGTTTCCTTTAAATGAAGTTGTGGTGGATTTTTATGATAATCTAAAGTCTCTGTCATCTGGATATGCAAGGCAAGTCCTACAGACATTATCTCATTCTATATATCGTAGAGGCCAATTCTTGGAAGTCCCTTACTTTTCCAGTGTCAGCATATTTTCATGAAATGCTGGTTTTGTCTAAAACTCTGAAGGGAAACACAAAAGAAGGAGTGACTATTGCTTGAGATATACATTCTCCAATATCTGTAGAGAAAAAAAAAATGTCCACCTTGAATATATGTATATGGATTTAACCAGTGCAACGTGGGTCAGATATTAGTGGGCACTCAGGTGTTTCGCCATGATTTTACTACCCTCAAGCATCTTACCTAGCCAGTGCTCCTCAAACAGATCTTTTTGTAGGCCTATGAAGAGAGTCATAATAATCATACTGCACACATATAGTAAAATATTATTAGAAGAAAACAGTAGGCACAAGGTTTTCCTACAATTCTTTCAGAGTCACTGACCCAAAAACAGTATGAAATTCAGGAAAGTCAGAGGTTCTTGTGTGCATTCTTGCTCGGCCGATTGAAATCTGATGGTCATCATGACAGCTCAACAACTAGGATTTGCATAGAAATGCAGTACTTGTCATTGATCACAGAAACATCTTTATGTTTGTGGAGATGTGGAGACCATGATGGTTCAGATGCTCTTTTTTTTAATCAAGCAAACTTTCAGTGAGAGGAACAGATATGCAACCACATTTCACATTCAACAACAAAAAACCATAGGACAAGTACACAAATAAGTAAAGCATTATACAAATTTTAGAACCTTTAACCGCAGGCAAGGAAAGGAGGACCAGCATAGGAACAACCAACATAATGAATTTAAAAAAAGTAATTATTCCACCTCCTCCTCGTCACAAGTATATGTAGTGGCAAGCCATCTATCCCAAACTTTGTGATACTTAGCAGGGCATCCTCTATGCATATAAATTACCTTCTTATATGGTAAAGTACTATTTACCACAGCTATCCATTGTGAAAACGTAGGCGTCAGCGCCTGCAACCACATACAGGCAAGTAGAAGTCTAGCCACAAATAGCGTCTCATGTAAAAAAAAAAGAGTCTGAAATTTGTCAGTTTCTGAGCAAGGAAGAAGTCCAAGCAGACACTGTTTAGGGCACAGGGTAAGGGGAGAACTCATCTTGTCATGAAGGAACTGGACCACCTGGGACCAGTAGCCCTGTATGAGGGGGCAGGACCATAATAAATGAAAGTACTATCAGGGTCTCCGCATTTAGGGCAAAGTGGACTATATTGCGGCTGGTATTTAGACAATCAAATTGGTGTCAAGTAGGTTCTATGTATAATATATAGCTGAGTAAGACGGTCTGACAACCTCGGGGAAACCATCTTAGTCAAGGACAACACCTCCTCCCACATTTCATCATCCAGCTCCCCCAGGTTTAGATGCTCTTTTAAGTATTTTTATATTACCTAATAAAAATTTATATTTTATATACTGTATATAACTTTGGTTTGGGTTGCCCTTAAAATTCCTAAAGAGAGTTTTGGTAGATACTGTGCAGTTACACAGGGATGGTGGCAATCCTCATCCACAACTACTGCTATTCTTTTACAGGCTTTTTTTTTCATTGCTTTCAATGAACTTGTACACACAAGTGAGTAAATATCAGTAAACTAGCGTTGAGTTCAGATCACTGAAAAAACAAAACAATTGTTTGCATTACTGGTCAATGTTGTACATGTGAATATGTGCACATATGCACAGGTATGCAAGTACACTGTTATATCACACCTCCACCTTAAATAGTAGATTATTTTATTGTTAGTTGAATTTTAAGCGTGTACTATATGGTCCATATTTTTTTTTTTGTGCAGGAACTTTCTACCAGGAAGAGCGTTCATACATCAGTATCATGTGCAAGGACCCTATAGGGAATCTGTTAGCATAGAAATAGGTGAATTCTATTTATATGAGGGAACTTTCTGTTCCTAGTCCCCCTACCAGGCATGTGTTCACACCACATCAATGCCTAGATCACATAGTTGCTTGTCAAAAATCTTCATGGCCAGGCATGCATATGTATTCTGCACTCCCTATTCATTGCTTTGGATTTCTAGGGTGAGTATACAGCTGACAGTACACAATATAGTCTGATTGTACAATCTCCTTTTAGAATGACCAAAACTATGTAATATGAGCCCAAACCTAAACAATCTATTCAAATTGTATCTAGTCAGGCAATCCCCCACACTACATAGTTATCGAGAGGTGATTGTATAATCAGATGTATAATGTATGTTTATCTTAGGATTGGGGGTTGGGTGAAAGGGGTGTTGTTATAAAAATTTACACTTTAAAAGAAACCCGAAAATACAGAAATATGGGAGCTGCCATTGCAGATTTGTTTTTGAAGGAACATGTTGCAGAACTGTCATTGTTAAGCTTCTTTCACTACCCAGTGAGATGTATTGAACATCAGGTGTCCAGACGACTAATATAGAGGGTGAATCTCCCTAAGACTCCATTCACACTTGTGCGACTTGTCATGCGACTTTGGACATCAATGTCACATGAGAGGTTGCAGCCCATTCGTTTCAATGGCACCTGTTCAAATTGGTTCGACTTAGAAAGTATGTCTGCACTACATTGGTGTACTTAAAATGGGAACACGTGTTCTCACGACAGCTAAGAGGGGACTTTATTACTTTGGAGAGCATTCTTTACACTTCCTGTTTAGTCTACCGGACAGAAGTTTAGGGAAAATTTTTTGATTGGCATACGGATGACCAAAAAAAAAAAAACCTAAAGGGATTTAACTCTTCTTTGCTCCATCCAAAGTGAAAATAAAAAGTTTTGGCTTTAGATATGCTTTTAGGTTTCCAGGAGTATAAAGAATTTTTTAGACTTTTGCAAGCTGAAGAGTAAGCAATTTGTGCATTGGCTTTGTTTTTTACCAAAGGAATTATTCACTGAAATTATGGTTTCACGGGACAAATTATTCAGTAATATGTGGATACACACTGTGTATTGTATTTTGGGATAAAGTAACAAAATTGTGTATTTTATGTAAATCGCTGCAATTTCTGATTTTGCAATCTGCGCTAGGTTTATAATTTTTTTGTGTGTGTGTGTGAAATGTTGGATTGCAGTAACGATGTTCACCAAGTAGGGCGTGTAAAGTTTTACCTTGACACTGATGATTCCACTCTGTGCATTTTTTCTGTCCTTTCAGTTTTGATTATGAGGATGCTGGTTACCAAGCATCTGACCTGGTCAAAATGGATATTTTATTGAATGGGCGTCCTGTGGAAGAACTGGTAACTATAGTACATAGGTAAGAAGTGTACTAGTACAACAGTATAAACAGACATTAAGGGACCCATTTATAATGCAGTATTGCAGACTCCACACTGTTTGTTGAATGGCACCAGAACAGACTAAGGCATGTATGCTGTGTAAATTCAAATATGCTGTATTTCCAGCACTGTCTTGTTTCTATTAAGGCCCCCAAACACTGTCCAGGTATTGGTCAGCTTTGGCCATGTAGGGCCTAATTTTGTATTAAATGAAAAATGCATGAAAAATATACAGTGCTCAACATAAATAAGTACACCCCAACAGGTTTGTCAGAAAACCTTTACTGTCCTTTCAGAATCAACATTTTCTATGGGACACTATACTACAGAATACTCCCACAAATGCCAACCATTGATTGCAAATAAGATGTGTTAATTTGCACACACAAAAAAGGATTTTTCCCAACAAATTATTTCAAGACCATGTTGAAAAAATGAACACACCCCAATGAAAGCCTTGGCAAGCAAAGCTAAATTTTAGACAACAAAATCCTAAGTAACAAGAATCCACCTCCAGGTGAGTCTTAATTATTCATTAAACAGGTGTCTAGCAGACAGTTGCTTATAACAGGGCGTTGCTTAACAAAGAAAACCCATTCCCATTTCATGCTGTCAGCAATGGCACTACATGGAAGAGAAATGTAACAAGGCATGAGAAAGAAAATAATTTCTTTACACAAGAAAGGTGAAGGCTACAAGAAGATCAGCAAAGCTTTATTTATCAGTCAGAATATGTAGTAAAAGTGATAAAAAAAAATGAACAAAGATGGAACTGCAACCATTTTAAAGAGATGTCCAGGCTATCTACAGAAGTTAACAAATCGGCAGGAGAATCTTCTGATAAGGGTTGAAGAAAATCGCCATGCAAGTTCACAGCAGTTGGCTAAAAAAATTAGCCAAACTGGGCTGACTGTTTCCCATGACACAATACGGCATACACTGCAGAGGAATGGTATGCATGGGTGTCATCCACAAAGGAAGCCTCTCTTAAAGCTCATGCACAAAAAAGCCCGCCTAGAATTTTTCCAGAGCCCATGCTGGAAAAGAAGAAGACTCTGTACTCTGGAGTGATTAGACCAAGATACATGTTTTTGGAACTGATGACTTCAAAACTGTATGGCATGGCAAAGGAGGGGAGTACAAAGAAAAATGCATGGTGCCTAGAGTGAAACATGGTGGTGGCAGTGTCCTTCTGTGGGGCTGCATTAGTGCTGCTGGTGTGGGGGAGCTGCATTTCATTGATAGTATCATGAATTCACAGTACTGCTCTATATTGAAAGAGAAGATACTACCATCACTCCATGCCCTTGGTCGTCATGCACTTTTCCAACATGACAATGATCCAAAACACACATAAGGCCACTGTTGCATTTTGGAAGAAGAACAGGGTGAAAGTGATTCAGTGGAGAGTATGATCTGAACCCAGTTGAACACCTTTGGGGAATTCTGAACAGACAAGTTGAGCATCACTCTCCATCCAGGTTCTAAAAGAGGTCGTTCTTGAAGAATGAAAAAAGATAGATGTTGCAATATTTCGCCAAATTGTTCATTCTATGAGTAGAACACTTATTGCTGTCCTTACAAATCATGCAGGTCATACAAAATACAAGAAGGAGTAGTTTTTGTTGTGGTGTGTAAAACTGAAGGTTTTGTTATTTAAGTTGTATTATTAGTCTTACTTTCATGTAATGGGCTAAACAAATGTTCTATAAAATGCAGTTTTGTCAGAATTTTAGAAATTGTTCTTGTGTTCATTGAAATATTGATTAAAATCTTACTTTTCAAAAGGAGTATACTCTTTTCTGCTGAGCACTGTATATTCCTCCAACTAATCATTAGACTTTCGTGTGTAATTTAGTCTGGTTGCTTACTTAATGACCCTGTCTGCACAAATATATAATTATTAAGCAACTGTTCCTAGATCTGTTACACTATGTGGAAGTTAACTTTACCAGATCTAGGAACAGTTGCTTAAAAACTTTGTTCTGGAGTTAGCTGGGTGAAATGTCTACCACTCTGTGGGTGCAAAAGTTGAGCTAAAGAGAATAGTCTTCCAATGTTGTTCCACTGTTATTAGCCAGTTCACACCAGTCTGCAATCATTATGAATCTTACTACACGCTGTTTACTTTTCATTTAAATTCTGTTGAAATGTCACAAAATGGCATTTCATTAAACTCTATGCACTGTAGAGTGTTGCAGCACACTGGGGTGATGTGTTTTACATTGCGTAAGATGCCTATATTCTGCATTTTTATGCATCGCACAGCACCACACAGGTATGGTTCAACATGACACATAGAAAACAATTATTTTCTGTGCCCTTGTGTTGAGCCTGCGTTGATCCATGCAGATCATTGCCACTCAACAGCCCTGGTGTGAACACTGTGTGTGGTGATCTGTGTTTTTCTGCTAGGGCACATAGAAAACAATTTATTTCTATGTGCTCCATTTGCATGGTGCTGGTGTGCAGTTCAGCACACTGGATGGCACTGCATATCATCACACAACAGCGCAATGCATACTGCTGCTGTGTAGTGACATGAATGAAATGTCACTATGTGAGACTCAAATACAGTAAAACAAAAAAGGGAAAAAACAAAGCTATGTGCTCAATGGTCATCACACCACTCCCTACTTACAACTGACACGAACACTAGCCTACATGGTAAAAAAAAAACTGTGTTTTTTTTTTTTTACCATGCAGGCTAGTGTGATGTTAGGTTTATTCTGTTAGAACAACAGTTACTGGGTTGTCAGGTAACTGATTTCTGTATGAGCACATTTTTATTGCTACTGGATATGATGAAAAATGAGTATAAGAAATATGTATCTTCTGTCATTTAGGCAAAAGGCCTATTCAGCTGGTAAAGCAATCTGTGAAAAGTTACAAGAAGCTATTCCCAGACAACTGTTTGAAATTGCAGTACAAGCAGCTATTGGAAGTAAGATCCTCGCAAGAGAAACGTAAGTCAGTAGAGAGTAAAACGGATATTCTCTACTTTATGTCCCCATATTCAGTCTGTCAGCAATTACAACATATGTGTAAAAAAACAAAAGTCATAACTGAGCTTAAATTGTGTCTCTAGTCAGAACGATATTTTTTCCTTTTTCCATTATTTTGGATAGAATAGGAAACTGTTATAAACACAGAGAGGAAGCAAGGGGGCTAGAACCTCCATCAGAGGATTTCCTCTTACATCCTGTTCCGCTGACATAGTTCTCACTGTGACAGGAAGGAAGAAGAAATCTTCACTGGGGACACATACAGCAGTAACAAGGCAATGGAGGTCCTGACCTTCCCCCAGACTACCAATGTGTTTTATTGCCCTGGTGACAGTGTTGTGACCAAGATAGGAAGCAAGGCTAAAATACCTGAAAGTGGACACAAATGGGAAAATAAACTATACACAATAGTTCATTGTTCCCTACCCTATCCAAAGTTTAAAAAATGAGCTAGAGAAACACTTTAAGAATCATAAATTAGGCCTTAAAGCAAGGGTGCTCAACCTTTTGAAGAGTGAAGACCACTTAAGTGATTTGGTAACCTGTCGTGGGCCACAATGAAATGAAAGGGTTCATAATTTCACATTTTTTCATTCCGAATAGCATAATGAACACTTTCCTCCTGCAGCCGCTGACTTCCAGTGGGAGGAAGAGGAGCAGAAGTTCAAAAGTTGTAGGAGGAAAATGGAGAGGATTGGTTCCTGTATATGCCTCCCCTGCTGTCCAAGTGTAAAACAGAATGTGACAGGGAGGCCACACGGGCCCCCTGGAGCATGGGGTGGGACCCCTGACACTACACCATTGGTTTGGGGGTATCTGGTAAAAACCACCTGCCCCCTAAACCATAAATGTAAACAAGCCCTTACTGTTCCGAGCCCCCTATAAGTCTGCTTATAAACTGATGTGCTGTGGTTTTCCTACAAGTTCAGTGCAGTGCATCTGTGACTTTCCTGTGGGTTAGCTGCACTTTGCAATAGACATCTATGATATCTTTTGGGTGTGGTTCACTTTTTGAAAGTCATCAAAACTCCTGCATTCAGTTTGCACTCCAGGTCAATGGCCACATCAGAGGGCTTGGAGGCCACTGGTTGAGCACCCCTCCCTTAAAGTATTATAACTGTGCAGGTTTAGTCTTACATACTACAGTGTCTGATTCTTCAGTTTAAGGGCTAATATACACAGCCACACAGAGTAAATTCACCTGCTATGGTGGCGCCCTCAGCAAGAGACCGCATCCACCACTGTTGCTGGACCTTTACTACTGTTTGCACATCATGTATGTTCATCATCTGGACATCTCCAATATCCCTTTTTTTACTTCTTTGCATACATGATATACAAATAGTAGTGTGAAAGGCCCAGTACCAGTGGTGGATGCTGTGTCATAAAATGAGGGCACCACAACAGCAGGTGTATTTTACACTGTGTAGCAAGTCTGGCAACCTTTTACTGCCAGCCCCACTATCCTCTTTCCAGTCCCTCTGTCAACTCCACCTTTTTCTGGTTCCTCCCTACCTTTTGATTGCCTTAAAAATCAAAAGCCAATTTTGGGACACAGGACCACACAGAGTACTAAATACTCACAGGAAGCATGTCAGGAACCTAAGGTTTGTACTTGATTTGTTTCCCGTTTTTAGATTCAGGTTCATTTGAAATGTGATTTGTCATTGTATTTAAAATAAAATACAAAACTGGCTTAAAAAAGCTGCACAATTATTGCTGAAAATCAATAATATTAATGTCCTGGAAAGGCCATTTTAAGTTCTGATTTCAGTCCAATAGAGAATTAGTGGAAAATCATGAAAAAGACTTGATGCATGTCCAGATATACAAAGAGGATGGATATCTATCCACACTGACTAAAAGCTATAATTTGACAAAATGCATCTACTAAATACTAACTTCAAGGGGGTGTAGACTTCTGCAAAAAGTTTTTATATTTTTTCATTGTAAACTTCAAGGAGATAAATGCTTTCTATAGGGCTGGAGCTAGGTTAGGCCCTTGTATATTGATCTTTCTTTTGATGTAGTTTATTTTATGATGTCATTACAAGCATCTGATATATTTACAAAAATAAACTTAATTTTGCAGAATTAAAGCCTACAGAAAGAATGTTTTGGCAAAATGTGTAAGTAATATTTAGTTGGTTATTGTAGAGAATTAAATAATGAGCCTATATTTTTGTTGAACTGCCTATTGGTAATTCTTGTTTCTTCTATGTTTTCCGCAATCGTTATCTAGATAGCACCAACATGTTCAGTGATATATCACAAGACTCTGTAACATGTTTGGAAAACTAAAGTAGAGCTTTTCAACAATTCTGTATGAACATATTCCTGACATTTTACAGAATACAGCAACATTTATGCATTATTTTTTTGTTTTGGTGGATTGCATTAACAGCACATATGTTTTGTTGCATCTTAAGCTCATCATACATGGTAAAGTGACTGTAAATTTTTTTTTTTTTTTTTTTTTTTTAATTAAAATAACAAGCATGTCATACAGTACAGAGCAACCCCGATCGTCCTCTTCTTGAGTTTCCTGCCGGCACTCCTGGCCCCTCCCCAGTGCCCCCAGAGCAAGCTGCTTGCTCCCAAGCTGGCCCTATATATGAGATATACAGAGCATGGCTTGGTCCCACCCCTTCTCACTGGCTGTGACTGACAGCAGCAGAAACCAACAGCTCCCACTGCTGTGTCTTAGCCAAAAAGGGAGAAACCCTCCAATTAGGGTAGCTGCACACTGAAGGTAAAAAACCATCAGCCTTTAGAACCACTTCAAGATCTCTCCCATGCAGCCCCATGACCTGAACAAGGGATACTACTCAATTCCCCTAGACAGTTTTCATGCTGAATCGTTTGAAATTCAATTCTTTGGGGTGGTCCTGCTGGCACCACCTGGCTCGCCAAACTTCAATATGAGAATCAAAGGAGCAGCCTGAAACTTGTTGGACAAACAGTGCCTTCAGCCAGTCACTGTTAGAGTGTTGTGACAGTCATGGCCTTGCCCGTGCAAGAGCCAGCACTGGAGATTCGTTCATCCAGACTGCTTAGAGCGGAAGAATCTGTTAGGCTTCTTTAATTACACCAAAAATTAAAAGAAAAGAACGATCTGTGCTTAGAGACCACTGCTTCCAAATAGAAAGCAAATCTGAAATTTTATTTTATTAAACAGAACTTTTAGACATTTAAAATTAGTTTTCTCTGTAATTTTGGTATGTCTACATAATTAAAGTGGTTGTAAAGGCTCAAGTTTTTTTCTATGCATGAAGGTAAAAAACTCTTCTGTGTGCAACAGTCCCTCCAGCCCCCCTAATACCTGAGCCCCATCACAATCCAGCAATGTGCAAGAGAGCCTCAGCTCTCTGGTGACTCTCCCTCCTTATTGGCCGAGATAGCAGTGGTAGCCATTGGCTCCCTGTGCTGTCAATTACAGTCAGTGAGCCAATAAGAAGAGAGAGGGGTCAGAGCAGAGCCGTGGCTGTGTGTGAATGGACATGCAGAGCAGCAACAGCTTGAGAGTGAGCCTGCTTGGGTGCCCCCATAGCAAGCTGCTTGCTCTTCAGGGAGGGGCCTGGAGCACCAGCGAGGTTCCCAAGAAGAGGAGGATCGGGGCTGAAAAAAACCACTGCTCAGAGCAGACAAGTATGACTTTTTTTTTAAATTGCCTTTAATATCAATTTAACCAAAAAGGTTCAAGAATTTGCAATAACCATCTATCACCGCATATATTAAAATCTAGTGTTTTTTTTTTCAAGGGTACATTTTTCTTTTATTACAAAACCATTTATGTGCTCCACAGGGGCATCAAACTCAGACCCTTGCTATACTGTATGCAGATTTCAACTTCAGCTGCTCTTGTTTTCTGCACTGTGCTCCCTGTATCCCATAAGTCAAAGAGAATGGGGAAAGTGCAGTTGCTCCAGAGCTCAGTAAATGAGGTAAGGCTTCACTGCAAAGAGTACCCAATCATGTGCAAGGACGATATAAAAAAAAAAAAAAAAACCTGCTTTTTTTTTCTTGCACATAATTGGATGGTGGAAAGGCAGCAGATATTCTGCTCATTTACGAAGCTCTGGAGCAACTGCTCCTGCAAAGTGCACAGTGTATTTTCCTTTAGTAAATCAACCGCAAGGCTTTCTCTGTAAGATTTGTTGATACACAAAGAACACATACCCTATCTGTATATTCAGAATAAAGATTTCAGATTTTTAAACGAATGTATTCCTGTTCTTACAGTGATCAAAGTGTTTCAAGTGTTTCTTTCATTGTTTTGGTAGTTTGGAATTACAGTTTGGGAATCTAGTTGGCATCTGTTTAACACTCTCTCAGAAGTTTGTGAGAAGCTTGACGCTTTTCTTCAATAAGTGTCTCTGAGCCCATTAAATATTAAAGCACTGCATGTTACAAAACATGGCTCAGTTGCAGAAAGGTTTCTAGATTTTAACAAACCTTCAACATTTTCCATTCACACCTCTTGGGCTTTGATGTAACTAACAAAAAACACAATTTTAGCACTAACCAACACACGCCAACAAAAGTTTAAAAAAAAAAGAAAAAACAAACAAAACTTTAGTTTTTCATTAAATAAAAACCAAACCAATAAGAATGTAGCACTAGTAACTTTTTGGCAGTGGCATTGGGTAGAAATTGTATCACATAAAACAAACAATCTGAACTACAATATATACAGTACCTAGGCCATCTTGTTATTGGTTGAGCTATCTTCTTCCCAAGGGGGTTGATTTACTAAAGGCAACTAGATTGTGCAGTTTCTCCAGAGCTTAGTAAATGAGGGGAATTACACAGAGCAACCCTAAACCTCCTCCTCTTCTCAGGTCCCCCTGCGGTGCTAGTCTCCTGCTTTCTGTCCAGTGCTCCCATGAAAAGTGGCTTCCCCATGGGGGCACTTGAGCACGCTTGCTCCCCGATCGCTGCTTCTGTGTCCATTGACACAGACAGCGGAACATCACCCCGCCCCCATCACTGGCTTTGATCGACAGCAGTGGGAGCCAATGGTTCCCGGTGCCCCAGCAAAGCCAGTGAGGGGAGAGAAGAGCTGCAGTTGTGCACAGTGCTGTATCGAATGGGGGCTCAGGTAAGTAAATATGGGGGGTGGGGAGCCAAAATGGATGCCTAAACAGTCTTTACCTTAAATGCAAGAAATGCATTAAGATAAAAATGTTTAGGCTTTAGAACCACTTGAAGTTTTAAACTCATTTACTAAGCTTTGGAGCAACTGCACAATCTATTTGCCTCTAGTAAATTTACCCCATAGTCGCACGATTAGTCATTTCACCCAAAAGTGATATTTGGTCTGAAGATCATCTACTGTCTCTTTTATGCCTTAGTCCGAAATTCCAAAAAACAAGATCTTCTCACCATAATTCCTCTGTCCCCTGCCCATTTTTGTATGTGCCAGATTTAGTCCGAAATTCCAAAAGCAAGATCTTCTCACAATAATTCCTCTGTCCCCTGCCTATTTTTGTATGTGCCAGATCTTCCTCTTGTATTTTATTGAATTGCTTTTTTATCAAATTAAAAAAAATACAAGAAACCTTCAGATGTATTAAACCCAATAGAATCCCTCATTATATTGCAGCTTACCATTTGTTAGATGTTGTGGCTGCATTGGTTTTCCTTCCTCTTTTACCTAGTGATCCAACAAGTCTGTTTTTCAAAAGAACAATCTCTTGCAGATGTAGCAGTTACAGGGATGAGACAAACTATTTAGCACTGGCAGGGATGCTTGCAACAATCAGCATTTATGTAAAACGTTTGTTCCAAATGTAAAAGAAAAAAAAAATGCTGTAACTGCTTATAAAGTGTGAGTTAGATTTTGCCTTCAATTTGTTAGTCTGTTTAAATCTACTAGTACATCTAATGTTCTCCTCCCATAGACTGACATTGCTGCTATCCAAATGTGCCCCCTCATCCAGAGTGGCAGCACTCTAATACAGAAGACGTGTTACTGGCCAGATTAGCAGGTGAAAAACAGAGGGGGAAAAAAGAAAACTAATGCAACCACAACATCTATTGACTAGTAAGGAGCAATATTTGACATGTTTGGTTTTGGGTTTATTACCGCTTTAACTCTGGAATCCAACACACATTAACATATCAGGGCTGGTTTGACCAAACCTAAAAAAAAAAAAAAAGTTAGGATTTGCTATGTTTTAAGGAACATCTAGAAATATTAATTGTAGCAGTATCCTGAACCAAGGTACCTTTTGTCTGAAATTCCTCCTGAAAAAGAACAGTGCACTTATATGGTATTTGAAGGTGCCTACAGCCCCGTAGCTGTATATCAGCAGTGTGAAATCTAAGGCAATGCTGCCCCTGACTGAGATTTATTGTTACTAATGTGCTTCTCACTATTTTCATTGTTGGAGGTTCTGACATGTGGAAGAAAAGGCCTGCCACTATAAAGATAGTTGCTTCCACACAGACCATGTGCAGAACAAGGCATGGTAGGTCAGTATTATCAGCTGCAAGGAGACTACAAGTAATACTGGTGACCACTCAGCTTACAGAGTCAAGTTTTCTCAGGAGTTCTGTATTCACACACCTTCCAAATTGTATAATTCAGAAATTGTGTAACATAATAGGAACCAATTCAGTGTGGTTAGTTTGTTTGTTTGTTTTAACACTGCCAGTGTAACTTTTTTTGGGGTTGCCAATGGTCATAGATTGGAAGGAGGTTGATAACCATTCAAGGTATGCAGGAGCTCTTCCTGGAAAGCTGGGAGGAAGGAGTTAGTTCACTAAAGCATGCAGCCAGAAAAATGCAGAGAAACCCCACCAGGGCCAATGAAAACATAGGGAGTTTCAGAAATTGTCAAATTACTTAGGATTATAGCAGTAACTGAATTGTTTTATATCTCTTGACAGTATGGGGGTGATATCTCAAGAAAAATGAAGCTCCTTAAGAAGCAAGCTGAAGGAAAGAAGAAAATGAGGAAAATTGGTAATGTGGAAGTACCAAAGGATGTATTTATCAATGTGTTAAAAAGACACTCGGACAAATGACACAATGAATTGTCTATATTTCTAACAGTCTAGAAAGAATCAGTTCATGGTTCCTTCAGTGTTTATCAGCTTTATAACTCATATTTGAAATGAAAGAATAATAGGGCCAGTTAACACTATGGTGGTCCTTCTAGTGTGTTACAGTTCTTGGGGTGCTGTTCACAACAAATACCACTACATCACACTGCACATAGTCATATGTTGTGGGAACAGACAACAGTGAATGGCCCCAAGTGGGTATGTTTTATGAGCTGTATTTTCTTGAAGATTTTGTACAAATAAAACTTAGGAACTCTCATTTAAGAGGGTTGTTTTTCCATACTCAAGCCTGATGTCTGTATCTGTGTCTTGGTATGGTTTAGTCAAAACACCATAAAAGGAAAAGAAAAAAAAAAAAAAAAAAGCAACTGGGGCTGGAAGAGGAGTGTATAAATTTACAGTGAAGGCCAAGGGAGGAATAACTGCAGTGTTTGATAGATGGAGGCAGCCTGACACTCTAAATACGGTATGTATATGCTATTTGGGTTAAAAAAAAAAAAAAAGTCTACAGGAGGGTTTGGATGTCACATGGCATGTTTACAGAATTAGATTTCGCAGCTTTAAGACTACTGGGTACCTGCGCTTTATACCTGCAAGCAGCCTTTTTTCCCCCATTTGACCATACGGACCATGGGGTTCCACCAGTATGCTATCAGGCAAGAAAACTAGCTGTCTGTGTTAGAAAATTAATTCAGCATCTCGCCGTGACATTTCTTTAATCTAAGCAACGATAACCTTTGTTAAGCAATCCCTTACCTCATTTTTTTAATCAATATCTGATACTGTTTCCATGATTTAGATTAGCAGTGTTGTTTGGAGTTCAACTTTAAATACACAGTTGAAATACATTTATCCTTTATTACATTTCCTGCCAAAGGATTTTCACCCTGGCCAACCATTCTTGTGATACAGACCTTTGCTGGTCAGTAAGGCCCCTTTTGCACAGGTGGTTTGCGTTTCCGATCAACAGTGGATCCACTCATAGATCCCCTGCTGATCTGAGCAAAGAGGGCAATATGACAGGTCTGTGTCTGCTCTGTTTATGCAAAGCAGACACAACAGACTGCACCCTGCTCTATGGGTGGCCATTGACACCCAGCTACCTCTAATCTGGTCTGCCCAAACGGAAAAAGGATGCAGTCTTCCTCCATTTGTTTTAGCATGCCTGATCAGACCCAGAGGTAGTTGGGTGTAAATGGACACAAGTCCGTTTACACCTGCCAATCCATAGAAATGCATGGACCATCCGATAGGTTCCACCTGAAAAACACATAAGCAGACCTGATCGGATTGCCTGTGTGAAAGGGCCCTAAGATCACCCTTCTACCTCCTGATTTAGCAAAATTGCTTTCTAGGTCCCAATTCACTGGACAGAGTTGATAATGCCAACTCATTGAGGAGAGGTAACATATGAAATAGAATGATTTAATCAGGAACTTCAGTACAGATCACCTGTCTGGCAGGTACACAGCAAACATACATATATTCACCTATTTAAATGTTTCACTTTTTGAATAATAGATCTTGTGGATTAGGTCTGGCAATAACCTTACACGACACAAACATTTTATTAGTCAACCTGTTTATTAAGACCATTTCAGATCATATTCTTAGAACAACAGTATTCTGGAAATTTTAACCTGTCTGTAAAACATAATATATTTTAACAAAAATGGTAACCGCTTCTTCAGTCATCAACAAAAGGAAAAACCATGGCAGCAAGCAAGACTGCTCAGGAAGTGTGCAGAACTTGCTTAAGATGTATAGCAATGTGGTTAGCTACAGCTAAGCACAGACATTCTATAAAAAGCTCATATGTCTGTAGAGGCAAAAGCTCTATGTAAAAGTATTTTGTATAGCAGCTTTTAACTGGTATACTAGGAGGCAGCAATATATTTACATTATATAATAAAAGGCAACATTTGATGACCTTTAACACCAATTCTGATGGAAGGTCAATTATTGTATAGAGTAAACAAGCACATGTGTGCAGCCTTACACCCAAAATATTTCATGTAATATGGAATGACTAAAGCAGAGACTGGACCTTTGCAATACAGTACTTTTTCACTTTTGGAGACCAGATTGCATAGCCACTTGTCCGAGAGCTGCATTTCCATAGCTCCACTCCCATCTAGGATGTGTCAGTTCTTCTTCATGCTAAGCAGTGGCTCCACTAGTTTATTATGTACATGCATTAAACCTTGGAAGAGAAGAGAGAACCATTTTTAAATTGATGCCATTGGCATGCACAATTCAAGATACCAAATATAGTTTAATCCTTAATATGTATGGAGCAACACAATGTTACTAACAGCAGGTGTAAAAAGTAAAGCCAAACTAAAAAAAAAAATATAAAGCACATTGCACTCTCTTCCTCAGATCTGTTTGTAACAAGTATTACCTATTTTGCACAGACAGTCACTTTGTCATTGTGGTACTCTAGGATTCTACAATATCAACCTTGAGTATGAAAAAGGAATTGGGATCATGCCCGGAAGAAGCGCCCCCCCCCCCCCCCCCCCCCCCCCAAACAAAAAATTAGTCAGGATATAGATGTGATGTTTTTAGTGGTAAACACAATGTGAATATTTTTAAATGTTTAGTTTCTATAGCTTATTTGTGCTTTGATTCCACTTGCAATAATTACAGCTGAAGGACTTTTGGTCTTTGACTAGGAGCTAAAAGTAAATGCTTCTGGGATTGTGGCTGCACTGACAGGATGTGGATGCATAGATACGGAATTCCACTGTTTATGCTTACAGTGAAAGATTGGTGGATCCAATTTATTTAAACTGCTTGCTCTGGGGGAACTCATGCTTGCTTGCTCCTGAGCCCTGCTTTGTGTGTCCATAAGAGTCACAGAACAAGGCTCAGGGTTATATACTACCACCTTCAGATGAGCATACTGGCAAACAAAGTCTTTTACAATTAAGTAAAAATAAAAATCCTCATTTCTGTACAATACAGGACACGGGCTCCCTTATGTCTTGACCTTCAGACATCCCCAAGCAAATACAACTAAGGGTGAGCATCATGACAAAGCCAACAGAACCAAAACAAGGGAATCCCCAGTTCCTAACTTAAAAACTGGCTTAAAGCACCTCTCAGCTGACTCTCAGTAGAAGCCTTTAAATCCACCTGGAAAAAAGGCTTTACAAATGTGTGAACAGGGGACCAAGCCCAAGAGGCACAAACTAAACGAGTCTTAGAGGAAGATTTATATCCTTCACTAGGCATAAGCCTTAGTGATAACCTGCCTAATCCACCTAGAGATGGTGAAGGAGATTTAGAACAGCCAATGTGAGAGCGTGCAGACAGGATAAAACAGAGATCTGAAGTGCCAATGGCAGCAATGAGAGATAAACCTGTACTGCATCTACACCATGTAGAGATGTGGAGTGCTTCGGAGTAATACAAAGAAAGCAGAAAGATGTCCTGATAAAAAGCACCTGTGTCTGGTTCTGTACTGTACAATTAAGAAATCTACATTGGCACAGACTTTAAGTTTCCCCAACTTGCTACACAACTATACCTCACAGAGTATCTTATATGCTGGAAATACACATCTGACATACTTCTACATTTTAGTACACAGTCTGCACTATAAGGTTTACATGACAGTACAGATAGCTGACAAATAGCCACTCAGGAGTGCTGTGTTCTCTTATACCCTTAAGTACGTTCTCTTTTATCCAGCACCTCTGGGTGTTTTTAATGAAATTCAATAGCCAAGGGTATATGCAGCTGGGATATAAAGGAAACCTCATTTAGGCCATACATACCTTTAAAATATTTAACTGTTTTAACTCTAAGTTCTAACGTAGCATCTTCATCACAAACAAATATAGTGCGAGGATGCTGCTGGAAAGCGGATACTGTCCACATGTGATTTACACCTTCTTCTATAGCCTTATACAAGGCAAAAGCTTTATGTGCACCTGTAATAAGGATCATCACCTGCCAATAGAAAACAAAAGATGTCTTATACCAACCAAAATGAAAAATTCAGAAAATACTGATTTTGCTATTTTTATTTGGGGCCACCCAGCACTGAATTGTACCTTGATGCTGTGCTTTTCACAGTAAAGTTTGAAAAGGATAGTGATATCCCCTAAACTGTTAGAATGCCATAATCCTAGTCTATGTACTTCTAAACTTTTTTTTTTTTTTTGCTGTCTATAATACATTAGAGAAATGTCCCTTCTCTTACTGTCTCAAAGAGAAAAAAAAAAAAAACAGCAAGTGACAAGAAATGATCTCAGAGGTTTGTCTCCAGAACAGAAAATCTCCCACTGTGCCAGTGAAACATGTACAATTTTGGATTTCCCATAATTTTCTCTCTTCATAATTATGGCCACCAGAAAAAAAAAAAAAAAAAAAAAAAAAAAAAAGATTTCCTGCTGTCCATGGCCTCTGGGCTTCAGCAAAATGGCACCTTCCAGCACTAATTAACAGTAACAATGCTGGAGGCAATTTACAGCACACACTAATTTTGGTAGCATAATTATTAATGTGAAATGTATGTTTCTTTTTAAGGGCAAAACTTAACTTAAATCAACCATGTTCTCTTTAAGCCCTGGTTCACATTGATGAGAATCTTGACATGCCTATAGATGCATGGTAAGTAAGGTGTAAGGTGGTTGAAGCTGGAGACCTAAAGGAATGACATGCAAATTTAATGCAGATGGTTCGCTGGTGAAATTTGAGCAAGACAATGCACGATATAAGCAGATTACAAAATGGTGCACTTAGTTCCCTAGTAGAATTTACAAATAGAAAAAAAAATGCTGAAAAGCCTTGTGATAAAATGTGGGCTAAGACTTTTCATTTAAAAATAAATATTCCACCAAACTGAAACACCATTTCCACAATATTACAGTACAATATAATGCATTTAAAAATAACATAATAAACACAAATACCTCTCTGGAATCCATCACTGTACCCACACCAACTGTCAAGGCCATCGTCGGAACCTTAGAAAGATCTCCATCAAAATATTTAGCATTTGCCAAAATAGTGTCCATTGCCAATGTCTTTAATCTTGTCCTAGATAGTAGACTGGACCCAGGCTCATTAAAGGCAATATGGCCATCCGGCCCAATACCTAGGGTGGTAAGACAAAAATTTGGTAGTGAAAGTAGTGGTGGACCGAAATGAAAATTCTGGACCGAAACAGACAGTTTTTAAAAATATATATATTTTTTATATATACAATTGTATTATATTTGCCTTTTTCATTAATATCATGAATTTAAATAATACAATTCAGTAAAATAAATTTTATTGAAAGTAACACAAAAATTGGGAAGAAAATAAAATGAAATATATATATATATATATATATATATAAAAAAAAAGTCAACAGGGGGCGTTTTTGCATTGAAGTCAATTATCATTTTCTGCACTTTTTTTCTATCGGCAAAACGCTGCTAACTCTATTTTCAGCCGATATATCGGTGCATCACTAAGTGAAAACTTAACATAAAACTCACAATATATATGAGAAAAACTGCTGAAGGGTTCCTTTAAGGGTCATGTCAATGATTATCTAGTTTATATGGCCATACTGCTTTAGAGAGAGAAAAAAAAATGTGCTTAGCGCTTTTATGGCCTCAGGATTCCAAAGCCAGGAAAGATCAGTCATAAGACCTGTCAAAGTCATGGAACCGGCCTCTTCTACAATCATGGAGTATTCTCTGCTGCATTATAGGGGAACTCCACCCAAAAAGTTTCACTGTTTCTCCCTCCTCTTGCTTGCTGTGCCATATTTGGCATTTATTTTTTCTTTTGGGGGGGAGCGTTGGTTGATTACCTCCTTCCTTCCCCCCTCCCCGCAGTCCTCTAGGACACATCACAGGTCCCAGAAGGCTGCAGGACCATTTCAAGGCAGCAAACACTGTGGGCTCCCGGTTGTAATGCTTCAAGTGGTCACAGCTAGCTGGCCATAGTTAAGATACCGACGCCATGGACGAAGACCAGTAAAGAAACTGGTCGGGTGAGGAAGATGCTGGATTCTGGGAATGGTGAGTGGCTGTTTATTAAAAGTATTTTTCACCACTGGGCATACATGTGCTTTATCCACATCATACAAGCACTAACATGAACACCTGAAGAAGCACTCTTCCAAGACGGGAATAGAACAGGATCGGGCCTTCGGTGTCACATGACTATGGTTTAACGCAAGTTAAAAAGAGCCATTTAGGTAGGTGTTTTATGGCTCTTAAAAAGGATGGGGGTGGTGGGAAGTAAGGGTGTACAGCAACAAAGGAAACCCAGTAGTTGCAGGGTAGATTTCATGCCTTTGTTCTACAAACTACATCAATGTTAAACAAAAAAACCCTGCAGCTACAAGCAGTAGGAAATATCATTTTAAAATACAGTATATGCTACAATATATTGCCAAGAGTATTGGGACACCCCTCCAAATCATTGGATTCAGGTGTTCCAATCACCTCCATGGCCATAAGTGTATAAAATCAAGCACCTAGGCATGCAGAGCTCAGTGAATTCAAGCGTGGTACCATGCTAGGTTGCCACCTGTGCAATAAATCCATCCATGAAATTTCTGTGCTACTAAATATTCCACGGTCAACTGTTAGTGATATTATAACAAAAGTAGAAACAACTAGGAACAGCAGCAACTCAGCCATGAAGTGGTAGGTCACGTAAAATGACAGAGCGGGATTAGCGCATGCTGAAGTGCAGAGAAGTCGACAACTGTCTGCAGAGTCAATAGCTAAAGACCTCCAAACTTCATGTGGCTTTCAGGATTAGCACAACAGTGTGTAGAGAGCTTGATGGAAAGGGGTTCCATGGCCAAGCAGCTACATCCAAGCTTTACACCACTAAGTGCCGTGCAAAGCTTTGGATGCAGTGGTGCAAAGCACGCTGCCACTGGATTCTAGAACAGTGGGAAACATGTTCGCTGGAGTGACAAATCATGCTTCTCTGTCTGGCAATCCAATTGACATGTCTGGGTTTGGCGGTTGCCAGGAGAACAGTACATGCCTGACTGCATTGTGTCAAGTGTAAAGTTTGCGGGAGGGGGGATTATTGTGTGGGGTTGTTTTATAGAGGTTGGGCTTGGCCCCTTAGTTCCAGTGAAAGGAATTCTTAAGGCATCAGAATACCAAGACATTTTGGACAATTTCATGCTCCCAACTTTGTGGGAACAGTTTGGAGATAGCCTCTTCCTGTTCCAACATGACTGCACACCAGTGCACAAAGCAAGGTCCATAAAGACATGGATGAGCGAGTTTGGGGTAGAGGAACTTAACTGGCCTGCACAGAGTCCTGACTTCAACCCGATAGAACGCCTTTGGGGATGAATTAGAGCAGAGATTGTGAGCCAGGCCTTTGCATCTGACATCAGTGCCTGACCTCTCACAAATGCTCTTCTGGAAGAATGGTCAAACATTCCCATAGACACATTCCTGAACCTTGTGGACAGCCTTCCCAGAAAAATTGAACCTGTTATAGCTGCAATGGATGGGCCAAGTCAATATTGAACCCTACGGACTAAGACCGGGATGCCACTAAAGTTCATGTGCATGTAAAGGTAGACGTCCCAATACTTTTGGCAATATAGTTCATCTTAAAAGCAGTAAGCAAAGCCTATGTAATTAGGTTGCAAAAACATGCAGCCCTCCAGTGCAAAAAATAAAAATCCTGACAAAAAGTGTGTGTAAAGACAACAATGATGACACTGGTTCATGAAATACCTCCAACAAACAGCTCAATGCCACCAGCTTCTTTGATCTTCCTCTCAAGCTCATCACATTCGGCCTGCAAATCCTCTGCATTCCCATCCAGGATGTGTGCATTGTTAGGATCAATATCAATGTGTTTAAAGAAGTTGTTCCACATGTAGGAATGGTAGCTCTCTGGGTGGTTCCTGGGAAGTCCTATAACACATCCCCAATTTAGATTTCATTAGATTTATAGATCAGGAACTTGAATGTTTGTATTTCCTTTCACTTCCTAGTGATAATGAGGACATAGAAAGAAGGCAACTCTCCCAAAGCGCAATGGCAGCTCACAATCTGCTACTCTCAAACATACACTTTACAGGCTGGGACTCAGGAGAAAGTTTGGATCAGTTTTCTTGTTGTTAAGAGGGGATTAGAGGTAGATTCACATTAAAGATTAGGTTCACGTTAAATGTTTTAACTTGTAGCATCCCCTGTGTGCACAATTCAACACCCTCTCTTCCCTGTAAGCATCTGTTTATAGAAGATAATGCAGTTATTGCCTGTTAACTATTTCCAGGACAGCTTACATGAGAGATAGGCTCCTTCTCCCACCAGGAAACACCTGATCTACTTTTTCCTTAATAAATAGCCTCTCCACCCCTGAGTCCTCAGTATAGGAATATAATTGAAGGTCTAGGAGTGATCATAAGCATAACAGTATCTATCTGTATGTATGTATGTATATATAAAAAAGTCCTTCACATGACAGCATGACCACTCATAACCCTTCATCAATCGGGCAGGAACTATGCTGTCCTGGAAGATTCCTGGCAATACAGTTAACAGGTAACAACTGCGTTTTCCCAAGTCATCTTCCAGGACAGAATAAAATTTGAACAGCAAGCGCTCAATAATAGATGTAAAAATATGTAAATACAATAATTATATAACCAGCTGCAATTGCACTGACATAGGAATCCTAAAACCTAGTAAAAATTCATAAATATAAAAACGTGCAGCGCTAATATATGCAAAGTAACTTGATATATTAATAAAATGGTATAAAACAATATTCAGTATATATAAACTTCCAGGTGGGTATGTCGCACAAATGAGAAGTGATATTGCAGTCTAATGAGTAAGAAGTGTTCAGAAGTGGTGCATGCTTGACTTGGTCAGGTCAGCGATAAAGTGCTTAACTTTCAACTTCATAGGTGCTTCCCATAAAGAAATCCTTGTGATAAGAATCTGTGCAGCAATATATAAAATGCACACTCACCAGATGCAGATAGATTATGTGCATTAAACCAATATGACTATGTAGGGGCCCCTTTAAATGGAACAGCCAGCCAGCCTGGAGCAGCCTCATCTGGACAACAGCTTCACGTGCAGCCACGCTTCCTCTGGGGGTCTCTGTAAGCAATTAGCTTAGAGCCAAAATGATATATAAAAACTGTATAGTGTAGTATTTTTAAAATTAAGTCATTTATGTAAGTAATGATCATCATCCAGTAAAAAGCATTCCAAAAAGTTAAAATTTGTAGAAATAGCGATAGGTAAAACACGTGTCAGCCAATTTCCAAAATGGCCGCCGGGCCTCCTTCGGCTTCAGCGGCCTGACGTCACGACATTAGGCCTTCTCAACGTGTTTCGTGCAAGAGCACGGTCTCAAAAGGGGTTGCTCCAGGGCTGGCTGTTCCATTTAAAGGGGCCCCTGCAGAGAGTCATATTGGTTTAATGCACATAATCTATGTGCATCTGGTGAATGCGCATTTTATATATTGCTGCACGGATTTCTTTATGGGAAGCACCTATGAAATTGAAAGTTAAGCACTTTATTGCTGACCTGACCAAGTCAAGCCTGCGCCACTTCTGAACACTTCTTACTCAGACTGTACACTATCACTTCTCATTTGTGCGCCTGATAAAGCGACATACCCACCTGGAAGTTTATATAAACTGAATACATCTTCCAGGACAGCTTACATGAGAGGATCAAATAGAAATACGTACATTAGTGTGGCACTGCTGCTTGCAAGACTTTCCTACTGAATACTTGTTCTTTATTGGCGGTTAGGTCTAATCGGTAATGCCTGGCAAACATGCTGAAGCTGGACCATGTTGCGGCCTTGCAGATCTGTCCAGGGGAGGCTCCAGGTTTTTCTGCCCATGAGGCTGCCGTGGGTCTCGTTGAGTGTAACTTAAGATGGTGGGGTTAGGCCTGCAACTTTATAACCTTTTTAGATAGCTTCCTTTAGCCATCTTACAATGGTATTTTTAGAGGCTTGGGATCCCTTTTTGAACCTTTAACCACCTCCCGTCCAGCCGTTGTATATAAACAGCCGTCTTCTGTCCTTTGAAAGTGTAAGGCCACTTTAGGCAGGAACGCCGGGTCAGGATTTAGGATAATCTTACCCAAAAGGATTGTGCAATAGGGTTCCAATACTGATAGTGCATGTAATTTGCCAATTCTGCATGCCAAAACTACTGCTACTAAAAAAAAAAAAAAAAAATGGTTTTCAGAATTAAATTAAATACTTGAGGGTACATTCTTCTAGAGGCTCAAGAGGTCCCAAGAGGGGGATCTGGGCTTCAAAGGGTTCCTCAGTTTGGAGATAGCTCTTAGAAATCTGATCACCAGGGGATCATCTGCTAATTTTTGTTCCAGAAAGTTGGATAAAGCCGCCACTGAACTTTCAGTGCGCTAACTGAGAGGTTCTTTTCTGCTCCCGCTTGAAGGAATTCCAGCACTGTATTCAGGATAGGCTGTATTCCAACTTCCAGAAGGCAAATCTTTTCCAGATTTTGTCATAAATGGTGCTAGTGGACTTTTCCCTCCCACTTAGGATAGTGGTGATTACCTTTTCTGATACACCTTTCCTGGCTAGTATTTGCCACTCAAAAGCCACGCTGCCAGTGCTAGTTTCTCTGGGTGCAGGTGGAATACCTACCCCTGTAGAAGGAGGTCTGCCTTAGGTGGTATTATCCAGGGATTCGTCAGACTTTGTTTCTTCAAGAGGGAAAACCATGACCTCTTCGGCCAGAAGGGGGCTGTTAGGATGACCTTGGTGTGAGACAACTGTATTTTCTGTAAGACTCTTGGTAGCAGCCTGAAGGCTGGCTGAGGCACCACTCTGGTTGATTTCTTCTCGACTTAGCTTGCCTGCCAGCAAGTTTAAATGCCTCTCAGATGAACCGCCATAATTGACATACTTTTCTTCAGTCCAAACTAAAAAAAAAAAAGTTCTGGCTGGCAGCATCAGCTTTGGTGATCTTGTGCCTCCTTGCCGGTTTAGATAAGTGACTGTTATGTTGTCTGACAGGACTTGCACTTCCTTCCCCTTTACCTTTCCCTTGACAAACTTGAGCAGTTTGAAGACCGCCATCAGATCTCTGAAGTTTGAGGAGTTTCTTGCTGTCTCTGGATCCCATTTGCCTTGGGCCAGATACTCATCCGTATGAGCTCCCCAGCCGCTTGCATCTGTTGTGATCTTCAAGGGATTGACCCGTTTCCACATCATTCCCCGTTGGGGCCTCTTTTCCCTTCATTTCTTCCTCCCGAGAGGCCACCAAACAGGGAGAGATAAAGGGATAGCATCTCCTAGTTAACCGGGGTACTCTTGCGTTTGCCACCCAGGAATGCCACCTTAAGGTGCGACTGTTGTAGCGTGAGACAACATGGAGGAGAAAAAGCATGCTGTACCAGCGGAAGAGGAGTTAACCAGTCGTATGGCTCATATCTTATTGCTAGCCTCCCCTACTTCGACAGATCTGACTCCATTGCAGTTGACCACCGCCCTCTGCGGCGACTTTTCATATGGGGTAGTGGGGCCCCACCCTCTTTCCTGGTCCAGTGGCGCCGACCTCCCCTCACAGCTGCCGTGGATCCTGAGTGGCTGTGGTTTGGGGCAAGCGTTCTTTCCGCCTCACCATTACCAAGATGGTGGCAGCGGCTTCCTGTTGCCGGGGCTCGGGCGGCGTGCCCAGAAGTGACGTCACATGTAGGCAGACGACCCGGAAGTGATGTCCATCCCGGCACTCAATAGTGACTTCATTGCCCATGACCATGCCGAACAAGACATGTCGGCGTCCTGCTTAACCAGCAGGTAAGGTGCACCCACAGGGTTGAGGCCCCCAAGGTTCAGTGCACAGGCCTTCAACACCCCTGGTGTGCCTGCCTGGTTCTATGCAAGAGAAGGGTGCCGCCTGCCCCCCCAGTCTTGCCAAGGAAAGAGTCCCTAGGGAATTCCCTGGATGTAGTCTGCCCACAAGGCAGCCGTGTCCAGGGGGCCTATGTACCCTGCCAGACAGCCTGCAAAGACAGGTAGTGTCTGTCCTGGCTGGAGGAAACACCAGTACTGAGGACCAAGGAGTGGAGAGGCTGTATATTAAAGGAAAAAGTGGATCAGGTGTTTCCTGGTGGGAAGAGGAGCCTCTCTCTCATGTAAGCTGTCCCGGAAGATGACTTGGAAAATGGCTGTTACATTTCTGCTTCTTTAGTCAATTCTCATCCACCCAGCGCATGATTGGACAATGAAGGGCATGGCAGCACAAGGTTTAGGTTTTCCCTTTGCTCTCCCTTCCTAGAAGCATGTTATCTGCTTTAGACTGCAAGGCACTGTGCAAAGTCTAGATTGGCTTACACCGCTGGCTTTCACTCTCCCTGCTTATGGAGTTAACAGGAACCTGAAACAAGCCAGACTCAGGTACATATGCCAGATGCATGTAAAAAACACACAATGTTTTGTACTAACTTACTTCGTACTAACTTTGCTCTAAAAAAGAAACTTTTTATTTTGTAAATACTGTAGTACATGTACTCAAGGCAGCATTTGTATTCTGTTCTTCTATCAACACCTTTAAAAAAAAACATAACTATTCAAAATCTACAGTAATCCATAATGCTGTTCCTTGTTATTTGCAATTTAAAATCATAATAGATCACTACCATGGCACATTACTCAATAATGAATTATATTTTGGGAATATTTTCTGACCCTCTCCCTTGCATTCGGTCAGTAGTCACATGTATCCAGATGCAGTAATTTCACTGCAAAGAAGGGCAGATATCAAACCACCAAGTAAAAAAATATATTTCTACTGTTCATTTAATCAACTCACCTACATATTCATCCATATTAAAAGTCTTCACATATTTAAAGGATAAGTCCCCACTTTTGTGGTATTCAATAAGTTTTTTGTAACATCCCAATGGTGTGCTACCTGTAGAAAAATACACAGTCTATAAAATTAATCCACATATAAAACAATTTTAAAACATGCACCTAGTATTTGAAATCTTGAATAAAACTTAGAATTTTTCATAGACCCACATACCGCAATAAATTCTAATACATGATAACCTTATTTCACAAACATTGCCTATCAACACATGGCAGATCTAGGATGCAGTAACAGTATGATGTAGCATATCATGTATGTTTTTACATTGGCATGGACAAATAGTCTTCCATAACAATGAAATACAGAACATGGAGCAAAGTCTACCTGAAGGGAACCAGAGTCCACTTTTCTACCTTACTTTTGTGGGCTCCTACCCCATTACAAATAACCTATTAGTAAATATAATTGTATCTATAAAGAAAAAGATTGAGTTTACACTTCACTCCATTTTCTACCACGGCGCCTAGGCAAGGATAATATTGTACTGCTTTCAGCTAAATCCTAGGGAATTCAGAGCAAGTGAAATCTTGTGAGAAGACACTTTCGTAATAGACTGGCGTAACGTCTTATGAAATTTTGTCTGCTCTACATCACGCAGCAGTCTTCCTGAAAAGATAATGACATTTTACGCCCAGTGATGTGGGAGACAGCAGTAAGTATAAAGTTATACGTACACAAAAATGCTGTACACCGATCAATAATAATAATAATCTAACAAAGGTTCTGAACTTTCTCCATTCTACTAAAATAAATGCTCCCATCCCTTCCTGTCCATCCAATCACCAGTCACAAAAGCAGGGATTATGGGGGAAATCTCACCAATAGGGACACAGACATCAAAAAAAAAAAAGAAAAAAAAGAAGCACTACTAGCCCTTCCCTACTCTGTTGCAAAAAGAGAAACAGTTTCAGTGAAGCTGAATTTTATAACTAAAAGAATCATTTTTAATGTTTTCTTTATTGTTACCGGAATAACATGAAACAAAACATCGTGAAGTGCTCATTATTTAGTACGAAGCACTTCCACAAATTGAAAAACAAAAAAAAGCAAGACACCATGCCTTTTAAAGCGACAGTATCATTTTTTAGTGAACACATTATTTCAGTATTTAACCACTTGCCCTTCTGAGGATTCCCGACCAGGCCATTTTTTACATTACAGCGCTGCGTTACTTTAACAATTGCGCAGTCATGCAACGCTGCACCCAAATGAAATGTACGCCCTTTTTTTCCCATGAATTGAGTTTCCTTCAGTGGCATTTGATTGCCTGTGTGTTTTTAATTTTTTTGTGCTATAAAAAAAAAAAAAAAAGACCGACAATTTTGAGGGGAAAAAAAAAAAAAAACTATATTTTTGACTTTTTGCTATTAAACATGTCCAGTAAAAAAATTTAAAAATCAAATTTCATCATAAATGCCTGCTAAAAAAAATCCCAATACATGTAAATTAATTGGTTTACGTGAAAGTTATAGCGTTTACAAATGGTGGTACAGATACTGAAGTGTTATTGTTTTTTTTTATTAGTAATGGCGGTGATCAGCGACTTATAGCGGGACTGCGACGGACATTCTGACACTGGGAGAAACTGACTTGTTGTCACTGACATCCCCAATGATACCAATACAGTGATCAGCGCAAAAAAAAAAAAAAAGCACTGACACTTTACTAATGGCACAGGGCAGGAAGGGGTTAACATGAGGGGCGAGCAAAGGGTTAACTGTGTTCAAGGAGTTTTTTTACTAGGGGGCCGTGCCAGTGTGCTTCACGTAAACACACTGATTGGATGGCTGTGCTGTGCACAGCCATCCAAAGCAGTGTGCCCGAGCTGACAGGGAGGAGAACTGTTAGAAAACAAAACAGTCCTGCTCCCTGTCAGAGATGCTCGATAGTCACCAAGCGCCGGCACGTAATCACCAGCCGGGACTCGGTGATTGACAGCTGTGGGCGCGAATAACAGCACGGGTAGGGCGCACGCCCCGTCTGGAAATGCAAAATCACATATATACGTGATTTTGCGCACCCTTGCCATTCTGTAGCAGTATTTCTGCAATAGGGCGGTTGGGAAGCGGTTAATGTGAATTTCACATTTTGACAAGATTGGTCTTTCCAGAGATTTGTAGATTAGCCAGTAGAGGAAGCAAACAATTTACAATCAATCTGCCTTCCTTTTAAAAAGGCACATACTGCAGCTTACCAGTCCTAGGATGTGGTGGTTGCACTCATTTATCTCACGTACAGATAATATCTGTTGATGTAATTTGTCTTCTTCTGTAAATTACTAATCAAATAAATTTTTATGTATTAGAGAAGAACAAATATAGACATGTTTGAGGTTCAGGCTAAGTGGCACTCCTGGGTCCTTCTATAGATTCACTGTAGGAATAAACAGCCACCCAGGGACTGGATGGGGAGTGATTTACTGGTATACCAGGTGAAAATAAAGGAGAAAAAAAGGCCTGGAAAAAAAAACTAATGCAGCCACTACATCTTAGGACTGGTAAGCTAACACATGTTACGTTTTGGTGTGGATTTTATATATACTTTATCTAATAAGTATCAATCAGAAAGATCATTGTCTTCAATCACTTAGCCTTGCCTTATATGAAGGAGCAAACACATACATATGTAATGAGCAAATATGGCTGCCCCAAACATATAATTCATATTATACTCAAAGTTGATTTTTAAAACATTTATACAATACAATCATTTAAACAAATGAAACCCTTTCAGTGGGATCACTAGGGTTGGTATCACCTGGTACAGTAAAACATGGTGTCAAAAGCCCCCTCCCCCTTTTCCAGCAGGACAGGCAGTAGGGAACTGAGCAGGCTAGCACATCGGTGTGGCTCCACCCCCATTAGTGTCCTCGGTGAGCCAATTCCTGTCCTCAGTCCCTCCCCCCACAGCACTCCATTACTATCCTCATTCCCCCACAGAACCCCATGACTGTCCTCAGTCACCCCCCCCCCCCCCCCACCACAACAGCGCCCCATTACAGTCCTCAACTTCGCTCCACATCGCCCCTCCTCCAGTCTTACCTTACACAGACAGTGCAGAGGGCTGGAGACACAGCGGATCTGGACAGAGGGCGGGAGCTGTAAGCTGGTGATTAGGTGTTAGGACCACCCTAACAACCAATGGCCTGCTGTTAACTCTGACAGCCCCACCCTTTAAAAAACAGTTCGGAGATCAATGGGACCCCCTCAGATAAGAAGTTTAAAAAATAACCAACGGCGGAGTAAATAAGATTCCAAATAGGTAATAAGGCCAGTAGGCCAAAAATCCTCCATTCACTTTAAAATGAGGTTAGATTACGTTATCGCCTTAAAGTCAAGCCTGGGCCACACACATAATCATACAAAAGCGCTTTCCAACTACCATCCATCTTAATTGAGCACGGTAAATGAGTCAGTAATATCCAGAGCCTCATATAACGGGTAGACCCGCTGTCAGCCAAGTAGGCAATAACGGGGCTCTGGGGATCAGACTCACTGCATATACCCAGTAGCCGGCACAGTGATAAAAATCATTATATATGTATACACAAGTCAAGGGAAGGCTAGTACACAAGTCAAGGGAGGCTACGTAGGTACCCTGTACGGGTTTATAGAGGCGGTTCAAGTCCAGGTCCATAACCACTGCAAAAAAACACATTCCATAGCTAAAGCATTGGTGCACTGGTGCAGGCAGGTTCAGAAGGCTCACAGCTTGAGCATATTGAATACTACTTTCTGCTGATTAGCTTGAATATGACCAGGCACTGCCAGCTCACATTAGTTTCATAAAAAGGTGAGGCTGATGGACATAAGTAAAGGCACAAAAGACTTGTTGCACAAGGAGCGGCAACCACTGCATAGACTGCCTGCAGGCTCTCACCACTCCATACAATATGGAGGATCTCCTTGGTGATATTACAATCTCCACTTAAAATTGCAGAGTAGAGTGAAATATCTTGGATCTCGTCCAATTTCAGTCTACGATGCCAGCCAGCCCTAGATTTTATCAAGTTATGTCTTTCCTGAGCACTGGCCTTCTTTTTAGCATCTCTTAAGGTGTGCCAAAAACTGGGCAATAAGATGTGAATAGCCCCTTTCCCTTATTAAAAGACCTTTAAAAGCTACTATAAAGGTCTCCAGCTTCATGCCTATAGTCCTCTATCCAGAGCTGTCCTAACACCCACAGATGACTCTCAGAGAATGACAGTGGCAGCTCGTAAATGGCGGGGACTGGTTGCAGTTCACACTACCTGCACCCCCATATCGATGTCACTGATCTCTTTTACATTAAGTGCGTATTTGAAGTATTCAGACCACCTTCACATTTTTCAATTTTATTCTTTTGCATCCTTATACTACAGACATTTAAAATTAATTTTTTTTCTCAGTACCCCATAATGACAAAGTGATACAGAATTTTACAAATGTCTGAATTTATTAAAAATTAAAAACTAATATCACATGTACTTACCGTAAGTATTCAAACCCTTCACTCAATACTTTGTTGAAGCACATTTGGCAGCAGTTACAGCCTCAAGTTGTTTTGGTATAATACGACAAGATTGCATACCTGGGATTGGGGGATTTTCTGCCATTCTTCTTTGCAAGTCTTCTCAAGCCTAGTCAGGTTAGATGGGGACCGTTGGTGGGAAGCCATTTTCAGGTCTATCCAGAGATTTTCAACAGGGCTCAAGTCAGGACTCTGGCTGGGCCACTCTAGGACATTCACAGAGTTGTCCCTAAGCCACTTCTGTGTTGTCTTGGCTGTGTGCTTAGGATTGTTATGTTGGAAGCTGAACCTTCGGCCCAGTCTGGTTCTGAGTTCTGTGGAGCATATTTTCATATCTCTGTACTTTGCTCTATTCAGCTTTCCTTCAACTCTGACCAGTCTCCCAGTCCCTGCTGCTGGAAAACACCCCAACAGCATAATGTTGCCACCACCATACTTCACTGTTGGGATAGTATTGAGCAGGTGATGAGTGGTGCCTGGTTTCCTTCAGACAAAGTTTAGAATTGAGGCTAAACAGTTCAATTTTGGTTTGATCAGACAAGAGAATCTTGTTCCTCACAGTCTGACAGTCCTTCAGGTGCTTTTTTTGCAAAGTCCAAGTGAACTGTCATGTGTTTTGCATTGAGGGAAGGCTTCTGCCATAAAGCCCAAATCGGTGGAGGGCTGCAGTGATGGTTGCCCTTCTGGAACTTTGTCCCATCTCTACACAAGATCTCTGGAACTCAGTCAGAGTGACTATCGGATTCTTGGTCACCTTTCTTACTAAGGCCCTTCTTTCTCCCCAGATTGCTCAGTTTGGCCAGGCGACCATCTCTCAGACAATTTATTGTTGTGCCAAACTTCTTCCATTTGAGAATTATGGAGGCCACTGTGCTCTTGGGAACTTTTAGTGCAGCAGAATTTTTTTGTAGCCTTCCCCAAATCTGTGCCTTGCAATAATTCTGTCTCTGAGCTTTGCAGGCAGTTCCCTTGACCTCATGGCTTTTTCTCTGATACAGTATGCATTTTCAGCTGTAAGGCCTTTTAAAGAGATGAGCGTGCCTTTGCAAAACATGTTCAATCAATTTAGTTTACCACAGGTGGACTCCAAGCAAGGTTTAGAAACAATTCAGCAATGATCAAGAGAAATTGGATGCACCTGAGCTGAATCTCAAGTATTGTTGGAAACGGTTTGAATACTTATGACAATGTGATATTTCAGTTTTTCCCCTTTTCATACATTTGAAAGCATTTCTAAAATTCTGTTTTCACATTGTTACTATGGGGTACTGAGTGTAGATGTAGGAGGAAAAACAAACAAACAAATGTAGTATAAGGCTGCATAAAACAAAAATTGAAAAAAGCGAAGGGGGTCTGAATACTTTATGAATGCACTATATATCATCGATAAAGATAATAAACTATCTTTAAAGGATAAGTTCACCTTTTGGACAAAAATAATAAATGCGCATTTTTTTGCAGGTAAAAACTGGAACATGAAACATGGTCCTAAAAGGTGAACTTATCAGCTTCCTGACCGCCCTATAGCAAAAGTACTGCTACAGGGTGGCAGAACTACAAAAAAAAAAAAAAAAAAAAAAAAAAATCACACACACACACACACACACTAATTTTATATATATATATATATATATATATATATATATATATATATATATATATATATATATATATATATATATATATATATATATATATGAGCCCGCCCTACCCGCGCCGCCATTGGTGGCTAGAGATGTTGATCACCGAGTCCTGGCTGGAGATTCCCCACCAGCACCGAGTGATCGCCAAGTATCACCGACAGGGAAAAACCTGCCAGCAGTAACATGCTGCTGTGTATTTCAGCAGAGTAATACACAGCAGCATGTTTCCCTAGTAAAACACACACCGTAAAACAGCACGCAGTTAACCCTTTGATCAGCCCAGATGTTAACCCCCTTCCTGCCCAGTGTCAGTGTTTTTTTTATTAGCACTGATCACTGTATTAGTGTCACTGGGATGTCAGTCGCAGTTAGTCCCCCACCCCAATGTCAGAATGCCCGCCGCAGTCCCGCTATCAAGCCGCGCTAATATAAATAAGATTAAAAAAAAAAATTCCAGTATATATACAGCCATTTGTAGACACTATAACTTTCACATAAACCAATTAACTTATATGAATTGGGATTTTTTTTTTTTTTTAAGACATGTAGCAAAATACATTTTGGCCTAAATTTATGATGGAATTAGATTTTTTTACTGGATAGGTTTTATAACAAAAAGTTAAACATATTGTTTTTTTGTTAAAAATTGTCACTTTTTTTTTTAATAGCGCAAAAAAAAAAAAATGCACAGGCGATCAAATACGACTGAAAGAAAGCTCTATTTGTGGGGAAAAAAGGACATACATTGTCAACCCGCGCAATTGTCAAAGTAACGCAGCGCCATATCACAAAAAATGGCCTGGTAAGGAATCAGGAAGGGGGAGGTTGGATGTAAATCCTCTGGAGGGCAAGTGGGTAAAGGAAATGAGGCACAGTGTTTTTTGTTTTCCAAGTCTGAATGCATGACAGTATTCCATGTAGCAGTGAAGTGTTGGCTTCACTTAGGATGGGAAGCGATGACATTAGCCCAGGTCCCCGAGCTGCACCTAGGAGGAAGATGGTCATGGAGGTGACAGGAGGAGGAGGGGGGCGGACAATGGTTGGGGTGAAGGGAGCGGATGCTGATTGATTGTGTGGGAGGCCACCACGTCATGAATGATCCTACAGAGGAGAGGGGCTGCAGTGGGGAGGAAAAAGGACAGAGGAAGATGCCGGGTGTCTGGGGTCAGTGTAGCTGCTGATCTGCAGCTCCTTCCAGTGTTCCTCTCAGACTCAGTCCCTTAATGCAAGCCGGCTGGCAGCTGCTGATCACTGTGGAGTTTTTGTTCCTCTGTCTGATTAATACAGTTAGTTTATATTTGTTTAATATATATTTTGTCTTTAATAGTGGTGCTGGTGGCATCTTATTGGCACTTATTTCTGCAAATGAAAAGAAATTTAGCAGTTTCAGGTTTTGTTGATTTAATACTTTCTACCGTTTGTAAAACAAATGTATTTATTTTTGGTTTTGGGGGGGTGCACAAGCAGCTGGGCTTGTATATAGGTACTTAAATAGCGCCATTTATTTACGTAGCCTTTACATATATATTGTACATTCACATCAGTCGCTAACCTTCAAGTACAATCTAAGGTCCCTAACTCACATTCATACATACACATACTAGGGCCAATTTAGACAGCAGCCAATTAACCTTCCAGCATGTCTTTGGAGTGCGAGAGGAAACTGGATATCTGGAGGAAACCCATGCAGGCACAGAGAGAACATGCAAACTTCAGACAGGTGGTGCCGTGGTTGGGATTTGAACCCACGACCCTAGTACTGCCAGGCGGAAGTGCCAACCATTTAGCTACTGTGCTGCCCTACTTCACACAATTTGACACAGCAGCAGGAACCAATGGCTCCTGCTGCTGTCAGCCAAGCCTATGAGAGGTGCAGGAACTAATGGCCCCCACTGCTCTCAGCAAAGTCTATGAGAGCAGGAAGACTGAAGAGAGGACCTGCAGCTGGTACAGCGCTGGATTGATAGAAAAGTTAGGTAAGTGTTGAAGGGAAGAAGGGGAAACAGACATTGGAAGGTTTTTTTACCTAAATGCAAAGAATGCATGAAGGTAAATACCCTTTGTACTTCCAAAAAAAAAAAAAAAAATATATATCATTAAAGTGATTTTAAATTCTAGAGAAGATTTTTCACACAAGCAGCCAGGGGCAGTAAAAGCAGACAAATGGGCTACAGTTTTACTGCCCTGCCCTTCCTGACCGCCCACCTAAAGTAGGGCATGCAGCCACTCAGTGTACACATGCCTTGGCCACACACAATGCTTTGCTTCACAGCAATGGCAAAAATTAAACTTCGTATCACATTTAGTGGTAGCTCGGTGTTTTAGCCTTTTTAGGGATAAATGACATTGCCCCTTCACTGCCTGTCGAACACTCTCTGAAAAGTGATTCACTGCAGACAGAGGGACAGCATGGGCTGCTGCACGTGAGAACGAACCTAAACAGTAAATCTGTGAAAAAACGGCAAATCAGAACAAAATTTAAAAAAAAACAAAACAAAAAAACAACAAATTAAACTGACAGAGTATAACCTGTGGGTAATCCGAGAGTGAAATATTTATCTGGTCCCGGATTGAACTGAATGATACGATTACATATGTACTTCGCTGCCCACTCGCTCGCCAGGGAATAGTCATCAAGAATTACTAGTCTCATGTTTGTGAAAAGTAGCTCTTTCTCCACAGCATACAGCTCCCAATCTGCAATCAGAAAAAAGCTATAAACAAGGGAATTTGTATACAGAATTATATAAACGGATAGATAAAAAGTGAGTGCTTTTCCCATAAGCAGCTGTACACTCAAGGTAACCAATAAAAAGTCCTTATTCATATAAAAGTAGAAAGGTGCAGCGCTGAGTTAAATGATAAATGATTCCAATTAAATAACAGAACAGATACTCACATGCATATAAACAGTGCGATTGATCACACGTAAGGTAATTAATATATATTATTAATAAAATAGATATCCACATATGTGATTAAAAAGGATAAACTAGGATTAAAGTAAGAAAAATAGTCCCACAGCTTCAAGCCGGTGCCAGTGCTTCGTAATAATAGTAGAAATGCGCACTCACCGGACGTGCACAATAATAGTGCATAATACAGGATATCCTGGTATTAATGAGTAGTCATCAGGGCCACAGGATGGAACAAGCTCCCTCTCAGGATGGATGGAATCCAAGGGACTTTAGTGTAGATATCCAGGGGTGTCCAGAGTTCCCCTTTAGGGATGGATGGGTGCAGCTCTCACAAAATAGGCAGGAGGCACCCTCTCTGGTTACACAGGGTACTGGGCGTCTATGGAAAATAATACTCCCCGCACGAGGTCAGAACAGAAAGATGCCCATAGTGTAGTAGAGTAGAATAAATTTAATGGTATAAAAACAGGATGCATCCAAGAGGTGTAAAAGCACAGTGCAAACAAAGTGCAAGTACAGTAGATAAAGGACTAACCGTCCCTATAGAGAAAATGGGCGCCGGAGCTCCACGATGCTCCGACAGCGTGACATCATGGCGTGTGTAGGCTCCTCCTCCTAGGACTACTACACTATGGGCATCTTTCTGTTCTGACCCCGTGCGGGGAGTATTATTTTCCATAGACGCCCAGTACCCTGTGTAACCAGAGAGGGAGCCTCCTGCCTATTTTGTGAGAGCTGCACCCATCCATCCCTAAAGGGGAACTCTGGACACCCCTGGATATCTACACTAAAGTCCCTTGGATTCCATCCATCCTGAGAGGGAGCTTGTTCCATCCTGTGGCCCTGATGACTACTCATTAATACCAGGATATCCTGTATTATGCACTATTATTGTGCACATCCGGTGAGTGCGCATTTCTACTATTATTACGAAGCACTGGCACCGGCTCGAAGCTGTGGGATTGTTTCTTACTTTAATCCTAGTTTATCCTTTTTAATCACATATGTGGATATCTATTTTATTAATATATAATAATTACCTTACGTGTGATCAATCGCACTGTTTATATGTTTATATGCATGCGAGTATCTGTTCTATTATTAATTGGAATCATTTATCATTTAACTCAGCGCTGCACTTTTCTACTTTTGTATACAGAATTGCTTGCTAGATAGACAAATTCCATTTTTTTGGGAAAATACACTGGAGCTGTTCTTTTCTTAAGAACCGGAGCAACCAAATTCTTTGTTATAATTACAAAGATGATACCCGACTGCTGGCTATAAGCAACAGCTGCACTGTCAGCCTCATTTTCATATATCAGCTCCATTTGGTTCTGTCTTCTGTGGACAGAGATGCACCTTTTTTTAATGCTTGCCTAATATGATTCTAAAAGTAAATTTTTTTTATATATAAAATAATAAACACATCATACTTACCTGCATTGTGTAATGGTCTTGCACAGAGCAGTCCTGATCCTCTTCTCCTCGGGTCCCCCACTAGTGCCCCTGGCCGAGACACACAGGATGTGGCTCGGTCCCACCCTTCCCCCCTCACTAGCTGTGATTGGCAGCAGCAGTGGCTCCTGCTGCTGTGTCTCAGCCAATGAGGAGAGAGAGACCCGGGAGAGTCAATGCTCTTGTGCACAGCGCTGGATTGAGATCAGGCTCAGGCAAGTATTGAGGGGGTCTGTGGAGGGGAGCTGCACACAAGGTTTTTTACCCTGATGCATAGAATACATGAAGGTAAAAAACATTCAACCTTTACAACCACTTTAACCACTTACCTACAGGGCACTTATACCCCCTTCCTGCCCAGGCCAATTTCCAGCTTTCAGCGCTATCACACTTTGAGTGACAATTGCGCAATCATGCAACACTGTACCCATATGAAATTGTTATAATTTGTTTGTGACAGATAGAGCTTTATTTTGGTGGTATTTAATTACCTCTGGGTTTTTTACTTTTTCTTAAACCAAAAAACACTGAATATTTTGAAAAAAAAAAATGTTTTTTTCTTAGTTTTTGTTATAAAATTTTGTAAATAAGTGATTTTTCTCCTTCACTGATGTGCGCTGAGACTGCAGTGATGGGCACTGATAGGCTGCACTGATGGACACTGATAGGTGGCACTGATGGGCATTGACAGGCATCACTGATACATGGCACTGATAGACGGCACTGAAAGGCAGCTCAGATGGGCACTATGTGGCATTGATGCTCACTGGTAGGCACTGGCACGAGGCACTGATGAGCACTGACACAAGGCACTGATGGGACACTGACACAAGGCACACTGATGGGACACCGACAGGTGGCACTGCTGGGGCTACACTGATCATCGGGACACACACAGATCATCAGTATACATGGTCCCTCCGCAGAAAGCCGATTACCAGCTCTCCTCTCGAGCTGTCAGCGTGACAGCTGGAGAGGAGAGAAATGCTGATAACTGGCATTTCCCTGTTTACATGTGATCTTTCCGTGGCTCTTTCCGTGATCGGTAATCTGCACCGTCGATTGCCGCGCACTCCCTGAGCCGCGCATGCGCAGTGAGAATGGGAGGACGTCATAGACGTCCTCCCAGAACGAGAGAACCACTTTGCGTCCATGATATTACTATATTGCAGGCGGGAGGTGGTTAAGGAAAACAAAACAAACAAACAAAACAAATAAACCCAACCACAACAGTCTAATATCTTCAATTGAAGAGCTTGTCAATAGGAGCCTACTTACAGAGTGTTTTTTGGGCATGTTTAACACACCCAGAGCCTGCAACTGGTTAAGAGCACCACACAGGTTACCATCTTGCTGTGCAATCTACTAGATCTACCAACAACTATGTAGTGCTTTGGATACTGTAGGTCATTGGTTGTCAACTTATTAGCCTCCAATGCAGCCCCTGACATCACCAAAGGATACACATAATGTTCAGTATACGTACTCCTCCTGAGAACTGTCAGAAACTGCAGACCTCATAGAGGAAATGAGGGTCAGAGAGTGTGGACAGAAGGATACACCTTTGGCTGGGACAATATGAAACTAGGAACATGCTACATTTACATAGTTAGTCTGGCTGAAAAAAAACAAAAGTCAACCATAAAGAAAAAAAAAAAAAGGAATTCAATACTATTACCCTAATCAATGTTCCCACTACAACCTGCTGAGGTCTGCACATCCCATACCAAAGGGCCACAGGTTAAGCACCAGGGATGTAGGTAGTTGCTTATAATATACGGTTTTGGTGAAGCTGACTTTGATTGTACTGTACAAAGATTGTCTGGTGAGATTGTAACATGTATGGTGACCCTAGGGGATTCATTTACACATGCGGTAGCACTTGCTGCCCCTCTGCGAGTCAATCTGCAGTGGAACATTTTCCAGGGGGTGTTGTGCGGTGGCTTGGTAGGCTAAATGTAACCTCCCCACTGCCAATTTTAACCCTGAAAGCCTGTATCACAGCATTGAGACCATGTAAAATGAACACCATTGTGGCGTGGGGTGTATTCACTTCAATAGGGTGCGACTTGGCATGCGATTTGCAAATGAGTGGTCATATCGGTGTAGTTCCGACTTGGTCGGACACCTGTGTCAGATCCGCACTGATTCCTGGTGTGACTGGGGTGTAAAATGGACCGGAACCCTGAGATGAGGGCTACACACCCAGACTCTGCTGAGCCGTTCCCTGTCAAGATCATCCTCCGCCTTCCATCCACATCACAGACTCAGCCGGGGGGTGCTTTCCCCACGACGAGGGTTCTGGGTCCCTCTGGATGCCATCCCCCGCCCAACCATACATTGGAGGTCCCAGCACTACTAAAGGGAACAAGGTGTGCTCTCCAGGCCTGGACTTTCCACCACCATCCTCATCTGGGGGCCCCATTCACTGAACCCACATCTCTCCTCACCCCTCATTGGAATAGCAGAGCTCTCAGTGTGCTCCCTGTGTGTACAAATTGCCCTCCCCCACCCAGACAAGAGGCATCTCCACCGGGAACTAACATCACACAGACAGACCCACACAGGGCACCCGGCTCAGCTCCCCCAATACCTGCACACTCTTCGCCACCGGGTCACCTGACAGCTGTCACATGACCTCCCCTTTCCCAGCTCTGCCTGTCACTCTACGCTCAGCGTGCTCTGACGTCAGCACCACGTCCGACGTCACTTGGTTGTACAGTGGTTGGCGGAAGTGATGGCTACAATATAGGCAAGCGTTGTCATATGTCGCCATCGTGCGGTGACATCTGTAACTGCAGCCTCATGCTACAGGAATGTTATGAAAAAAACAAAACAACATCAAGTATATTTGTAACACTAATAATTATATTATTATTTTTTTTTTCCAAACTATTTATTTTTATTTTTTTGTACAGGTAAATGTTATAACAAAAAAGATACAGGAAATGTTGCAAAGATGTAACATAGCAAGCATGAAGTATAACTAAAGGGCAGCACAATGGCTAAATGGTTAGCATTTCCACCTAGCAATACTTGGGCTGTTGGTTCAAATCCCAGCCATGGCACCACCTGCCTGGAGTTTGCATGTTCTCCCTGTGACTGCGTGGTTTCTTCTGTATACTCTGGTTTCCTCCTACACTCCAAAGACATGCTGGTAGGTTAACTGGCTCCTGTCTAAAATTGTCCCATGTATGAATATGTGTTAGGGACTTTAGATTGTATGCCCCTTGAGGGTTAGGGACTGATGTGAATGTACAATATATATGTGAGCATTGACAGTGCTATATAAGTACCTGAAATAAAGGCAAACTTTTTTTTCTTAA